GGAGAACAAAACCAATGTTTACCTGGAATATCCTTGGAATTTCTTTAGCATCTGCTCTATACACATCTGTCTGTGTAACTGGTCGGACATGAAATAATTTGCTATAAAAGATTTTTAATAAAGGAATGAAATGTTACTACAGGTTGAAATTACAGTTAGTTATTCATACTTATGTCAGAAGTTTACTTTGACCCCTTTTAAAACTGTAGAGGATATAGGAATTCAATTATTACTTGAGATTTTGAGAAATTCTCAATAACTCAGAAATCTTCCAATTAGTTCCAGAAAACAACAAATTAAGCACACATGAAATAAAGATGTTTTAGGTAACCTACATCCCAGATTTTCATCTGGATGAAGCAAAGAATAAGAAAATGTCAACAATACAGTAGGAGCTACAGCATGAGTTCTCATAACAAATACATTACACTAACTGACAAAAAAGTCATGTTACTCTTTTAACCATACTTTAAAAGATTAGAAAAAGTACAGTTTCTAAATATTCTAATAAAAACACTTACTCTATATCTAAAACCATGTAAGGATTAGATTGTTCTTTATCTTGTTCACTGTCATAGAAAAGGATCTTCTTACTGCTTACAATCACATACTATTGAAAAAGAGGGAGGGAAGAAATCAAACAGTGATTAAAAATTATTATATACTTTATTTATTTTCTTTGAAAATAAATTCCTAAGAAAAATCTTCCTTAAAATAATAAATTTTGTTTATAGATATTTTAATATCTAAGTATTACCTATCTTATTTAATATTTAGGCAATAAATAAGCAAATGGAGAGTTGAAGTCTAATATTTTCTGAACTGATTTAGATGTAAAATCCTGTAACACTAGTAATCTTATAAAAAATGAACATAACGTCAATAATCATAATAACAGAGGAAAAACAATAAATGTGTCTTCCTATAATATCTAGCAATCTTTTTCTACTAACTCACTTCCATCAAGTCAATCTTGACTCATAGCGACCCCACAGGGCAGACTAGATACAGCCCCATAGAGATTCCAAGGCTGTAAATCTGTACGGAAGCAGACTAGCTCATCTTTCTCCCAGAACAGCTGGTGGATCTGAACCACCAACCTTTTGATTAGCAGCCAAACGCTTTACCCACAGCACCAAACAGCAAGAACACCAAGGTCAATAGGCTTATATCTTCCTAATACCAAAACCTGTTTTATTACTAACAACGTACTAATTATTTGAAGATTTTACAAAGGTGAATAAAATCACATCATTCCAAGTAACAAAGTTTAAACAAGCTTTATAAGTCTAAAAGTTCTAGTTATGTATATCCTACAGTTACAAAAGTGAAAAGCAGAAGCTAAACCAAAAGGGAAAAAAAGAACCATATTCAAAATTAACAATTACCTTTTTAACCCACCCAAACTTCTTAGTGTTGTTTCGCACAGGCAATGAAAGCCATCCTTCTAATCTTGATTCTGTAAGTAGAAGAAATGAGGCTAAATGTGATAATTCTCTTTAAACAATAAGGAATTTAATGAAATTGCAATATAAAAGTCACAAAACAAATCAAATATGCCCTTTAGAATTTCATTATACATTATCTAAGGTACACAGGATCAGTATAAGAAAGTTATGCAATGCAAAACAAAATTCAAGTTATATTACTGTAGTTTTATGAAGTCAAATGTCCTGTTGATTAAACTCATGCACTTGCAAAGTTCAGCAGAAAAGTGCAAAAAAAGCAGCAGCTCTCTATTCTCATTGCTACATCTGTATTGGAATCCCTATTTTTTTCCTTTGGAAGAAGGCCTAACTATAGATATAGTGCACATCTTCTTTGAGGAGAAAAAATCTGAAATGAGTAATTACTTATAAAGGGAATATGGACTTTTAAAATGAAACAAAACTATTTAAACAAATTTAGTTAATGGGTAGCAATATAGCAAAAACATTGTATCAATAATTATCAATAAAATTCTGGTTCAGCAATGAAAACAGACTGACACTTTAGAATTTGTTCTAATGGCATTTGATCATCTTTTAATGAAATAAGTACATAAACCATTTTTAGTTTATATACCACTGATTTAACGAACAAGATTTGGTGGCACAGTGCTTAAAGCATTTGGCTACTAACCAAAAGGTTGGCAGTCAAACCCACCAGCTGCTCCACAAGAGAAAGATGAGGCAATCTACTTCCATAAAGATTTACAGCGTTGGAAACCCTATGGGACAGTTCTACTGAATCCACTCAATAGCAGTGGGATTGGTTTTTTTGATGTGCCTGAACTGTGATAGATGGTTTACATAAATTCTCTTTAATTCTCAACAATCCCAAAGAATAGGTACTACACTCCTAAATTAGATGAAGGAACTAAAGTCTTTAAAGATAGCACAGTAATGGGTCTCTAACTCCAGAGACTTCAGAGAGTCTCTGACTCGATCACATATCAATAACCTTCCAGATTTTAGGACACATAATGTCCTGTCTATGATTATGAATATAAATGCTATCATCAAAACAGTCCATATGCTCAGCCTGTCTGGCACTGTTAAGATATGGTCCTACATCAATTCAAGGAACTAGATGAGATAACCTCTAATGATGTAAGATCAAAACAATTTTATTGCTAAAAATCTGAAATAACTTCAAATTTAATTACTTTATGATATGCTTTATCTTGATTATTCTGAAATGCAAGAAATACATGAAATATGTTCCTAAAAATGTAAAAACAAATGTAAAACACTATCGCTATTTTACTCTGAATTTCACTAACAAGAGACTAAATTTTATTTTGCACTGACATTCTAAGGTATTTTATTAACCATTGCTCCCCCCCTTATTTTCATCCTAACTTTGTAGCAAACTTAATTTCATTTATTTTCTATCTGTTTTTGTATTTAAACTTCTTCATTTTCCTTTCAGGGAAAGAATCAGGTTAAATTGTTTTACATACCCTTTAAGGCCTAGCACAGTGTTACCTTTAAACAATCTATGTGCATTTTTTCTGTACTGTCACTCTTGCTATGACATTTCAGTAAGAATTTCTTCTTGGTTGAAAAAGGATGAAACCAGTAATGAAATCGTAAGCCCTTAAGCAATACAATGTACTGCTGTATTTTCTTTAAGTTTGTAAAATAAACTATCTAACAATTTTAATAGCAATGCAGTGTGAAAATATCTTAAAAACAAATTCTTTTTTCATGCAGCAGTTTATTTTGAACTGAGCATAAAGCATGTTGATAGAGTTAGTGAATATTAGGTAGTGTTACACAAATTCTTCAAAACAACTGAAATTAGTGGGAATGGGAAAAAACCTAAAGGTGAAAAGATTTTCAGGATATCACCTGTACCATTAGCTTCCGACGAAATGGGTAAGTAAGGCAAGGATTCTTCTTCTGAGTCAGAATCAGAGTCAACAAGCATATGAGAACTGGAAGGCTTAGTGGCAATATTGAGAGAAGTAGAAGAGCGTTGGTAGGTGAATGACATGGATTCCATTGTGTGTGATTGAGAGATATGAACTAAACACCCAACATGAAAGGAAGTAAGAGTGCAGAAAGAAGTTAAGAGAAAATAAAGTAAAAGAATAAAAAGAGAGCTGTTATATAATAAGCTAATTTTAAAAATTACATATGAAGTTTTTTTTAATGGAAATTTTTATTGAAAATCAATAAATAAGTTTAAACTGTTATCTGAATACCCACTCTGAACAATAGGTTTTCCCCTGAAAGAAATGACAAACATTTTTCTTTAAGAGCAGTTGGCACAAGGCTCAAGACAATCAACTGATTTGTATCTAAGACAAAGGCTTTTAATAAACATAAAGGCTAAAAACAATTCTGTACCTGGAAATCCATCATCTGCCTCAGTATCCCCTGGGCCACTGCCTATACTGGAACTATCTAGGCCAATGTGCAAGGCCTGTAGCTGTGACCGTAGCTGCTCAATGTCACTGTCTTTACTGTCCAGTGTCATCTGCAGTTCAATCCGAATCTGACTCTCTTCAGCTATTTGCTATAAGAAATTATATTAATTAGATGCAATATATCTCACAAATTTCCCCCTCAGTTCATTAATAATTAAGGATTTTCTTTTTAATTTTAAGAGCTTATTTTACATTCAGTGTAATGCATACATTTAGTTTCATTCCCCATTCGCCTTGTCCAACCCTAACCCAGTATCCACCCCTCCCTACCCCATAACCCTCCCCCATGCCCCTCATATTTATGCACTCCTGCCTGTCCTGCATTTCCTCAGTTTGAATGTTGGTCCTCTGGTGTCCCATGGTCTATTGCTCTAAGGGATGTATTACCATAGAGTATATGGGTGCATCATCCTGGGTTGAGTGGTCTGCATGTACATCTTGTTAAATATTGGGCTGAGAGCCTACCCCTGGGGGTGAGTTTTATTCCAGGCGCAGAATGTATTCCAGGGCCATAGTATTGGGAGTCTCACCAGATTTCATCTGACCAGTAATTCTGGTCATTATTGAGTTTTTGGATTTTGTTCCACATTTTCCCTCCCACTCTATCCAGGTTCTCCAGATTTGATCCTTTACTGAGTGGCTGGCATTGGTAGCTGAGCACGTAGTTCTTCTGGTCTTGAGGGCCATCGTGTCCTAGGGCTGATTGCTTCTAAATGCCCTTGGTGTTTTTTTTTTTTTGCATTCTTCTTCACTTCTGATGCTAGGAGACCATTAGCTAGCTGCACGTAGGATGTGGAGCAAGGCTTTTATGTATTTTGTTGTGCCAAATGAGTCTGGTGTCCCCCAGTACTATGGTCCTGAGGCAGCAGATCTATTGGATCTCTCTCCCATAGTGTCTGGTTGTCTGTGAGGGATTACTCTGTAAGGGTTTCTGTAAGGACTGCATATATTTTGTATCACTGGTGTCTGTGCAAGATTAGCCTCAGCTGAATCTATCCTTGGTCAAGAGTATACTTCCGTTCACTGACCCCCGTCTGATCATCTCAGGTATTTATGTGTTATCTGTATAGCCTAGTGTTTGGTGTTAATGGCAATGTGGTATTGTGGACACATTGGTTGGTATTAGCATCTGTCACCTATCTAATTAAGGAATATTTTTGTGAAATGTTCTACAACCAATGAAATATACATCTATATGAAAATAGTTCTACTTCTTAAAAAACAGTTTTCTATCCATAGTGTAAGAAGTATTCTTACAGCTTGCATTTCATTCAGTTCTTTCTGATACTTGATCATCTGTTGGGTCAATTTTTCACGTTCAGATTTAAGTTCCATATGTAGCTTTCTATTCTCTTTCTCCTTTCTCCGTACATCTGTGTCACTACCACGCTTGACAGGTTCCTTGCGATTCATGATCTCAGCCAACTTATTCACAGCCTTAAAAACATAATAAAAAGTTAAGTATTGCTTAAGGGGTACTGAGTTTTTTATAAGAGTGATAAAAAATACTGGAAACAGATAGTGGTCATAGTTATTGCACATCATGGTGAGCATAAGTAATGTCTCTGAATTGTACACATAAAAATGGTTGAGATGACAAAGTTTATATATTCTACCACAATAAGTAAGTAAAATGAATTTTGTCAATGGTTTCTCAATAACTCACCAATACCAAGTTACACAAATAATAATAATCTCCTTCCCTATACCTAGGGCCACAAAAACAAATCTGTATTATTTAAATAATGTACTTCTTCATTACTCATCTTCATTCTTAAATCCATACTCTATTAAGTTTTCACTCTTCATTTTCTAAGAACTATAATTAAAAATGTTTATAGGCTTGATCTGATGTCACTTCCTATCACTTTAACTTTTTAGTTCCAAAAAAGACCTACTAGGCAGATCTTTTATCCTTAAAGAAAAGAATTCTGCACTGGCATCATGTTAATAAAATACAAGCTTTCCAACAGCACAGAAGAATATCTAGAAACCATAATCATTCAGGTATACAACCATCTAAGTATGGCAGAGGGCCAGTCAAAAGTCACAAGTGCCTTTTGAGACTAGCAGACCCTTTTCAGGTTGTTAGCAAATGGTCACTAACTAGTTTCTTAACAGAAGGGAAAAAAATCATCAGTTTATCATAAAAAATTAGGAAGGGAGTATGATTCCATATTTAAAAAAATAAGAAAACTATTAATAAACATTGAATTGAACAATGTTTAATCAAATCTACTTTGATCCAATCTGGCCAAAATCAGTAATTGTGACTGTTCACAAATATGAAAACATTCAATGACTACTGCTTGCAAATTTTAATGTTACAAATGAAACAAAGATTTAAAATCATATTTTGATTATATTACACATACTTGAGTTTTCAGTGTTCTCTCTGTTAATAGCTGTTTCTCAAATTGTGCTTTAATAGCTGCTGCACTTATCTCTTCATCTTTCAACCTTGACAGCTCTGAAACATGGAGAGATATAAAAAATTATATTGATAATTATAGCAACTGACAAAATGTTAGGTATATTAAAAATAAACTTTATTCTTTGTTAATACATACGCTCTTGAGCATCTTTCAGCTTGTTATTTAATTCTTCTTTCTCATTTGCAAGATTGGCAACATCACTAGTTAGTGTCCTATTAGTTTCTTCAAGCTGAAATGAAATAGGGGGAAAAATATATCCTAAATTGCATAATTTAAGTTATTATTAAAAAGCAGTAACTCAAAATGAAAACATCCTAGAATACTGTTAAAACTCTTGTTTCTCTAAGTACATTGCATCTCTATACATCCACACCTCACTTAATGTAGTTAAGTTCCAAAGACCAGGCCATTATGCAAAAATTGCATAAATGGAGGATAATCACATCAGATCACAAAATTGAAGATGACTACATTATTATATATCTGTCAAATTTCATTATTATGTAACTGCCAAACCACTGAGAATCATGGGCCAGCCAAGTTGACGTACAACCTTAATCATCACAGCCAGTTTTATTTCTGCCTTGCACTTCAAAATTCATTACTGCCAGGCGTATGTCACAAATGTGCTAAATAGTTAGAGAGCAGACAGTCAGTAAGTGAGGAGTAGGTGTAGTTCTTTCCTTTGTACCATCTTACCAAGCTTCCCTTTTTTTTTTTAATTCTATTGTAATTTGGGTGAAAGTTTACAGAGCAAATTCATCTTCCATACAGCAGTTCACATACAATTTTGTTTCATGACATTGACTGCAATCTCCCACAATGCAACAGCTCTCCTTCTACTTCCTCCCTATAGCCACCTCGTCCCTGTGTCCTTCCCTCCCCATGCACTCCTGCTTCCTGAGCTGTCTCCCTGTGCATACACCTCCTTTTATTGTCCCATGATTGATTTCTCCAAGGTGTGTATCTACCAAATGTAATGTTTAGCTCATTTGCCTGTCTTCTGTTTGGCTGGAAGCCACAGGAGTTAAGTTCAATTCCAGACCTGAAGGGCAACTAGTGGCCATGTCTCAGGGGTTCACTAGTCTTTATAAGACTAGCAAACCTGATCCCCCCCCCCCGCTTTTTTAATGATTTTGAGTTTCGTTCCACATAGTTCTTCCACTCTATGCAGTATCTCATACATAGATCCCCCTCTATGTGGTTGACAGTGGTAGCTGGGCACCATCTAGTTCTTCTAGTCGTGTTCATAAAGGCTGAGGACTGCATGGTGTACCAGGCCCTTGAAGTAATCGTTTCCATGCGTCTTTGGCCAAACTTCACTCTTGATGAAAATTTTACTAACAAACTTCACATGTACCCCAAAATTCCCCCGAAAAAAAAATCCCAACTACCATTGAGTTGATTCCCATTTATAGTGACCCCCATTTGATTTCCAAGGCAGTAAATCTTTATGGAAGTAGATTGCCCAGTCTTCCTTCCATGGAGTGCCTGGTGGGTTTGAACCACCAACCTTCTGGCTAGCAGTCAAATGCCTTAGGAACTTACATGTGCCCATGGAAGTCAGAAGACTGTCCTTCTTGCATAAGTTCCTCAGCACTTTTACTGCTATAAATATATATACATATATATATATATTTTAAAACTACAAAAAGCAAACACCGTTAACAAAATCCTGCAGCTTATCATGCAGAATAAACAAATTTTAACACTGTCATATTTCTTTCAAAACACTGTTTTACAACAAAATATAAAATTCTATTGATGCTGCCATCCCTTTGTTTTCCATCCAAATCTTATTACTATTCATTTCTTCTGGAAGGAATTTTTAAATAGTGAGTTTATTCTTCCCATCAATGATTTGATGCTTTGATTACATATACACATGAAATCATAATCAAACTGTATAGTATGGTTTTATGTGATTTAAAATTTTCCATAAATGGCATCTCATTATATTTCTTTCTGTAATTTTTGTTAACCTAAGATTATGTTAACAATTATTCTTGCAGATATATAGAGATGTAGCTAATTTAAATGATGTACAGTAGTTCCATATTCTACATTTCATTTATCCATTCACTTAAATATTAATAGATATTTGAGTCTTTGTTATTACATTTAAGCTTCTAATAGTATCATGCCTTAGTTTCCCTAGCATATTTAGCTGAAAGTGAAATTTTTCTGGATTGTATTATATGAATAGTTAAAGTTAACTGCTATGATATTTACTATTTATTGCCATACTAAATTATACTCCTCAATAAAAAAGAAAAAAAAAAAAAAACTCACTCCATCAAGTCATTTTCGACTCATATTGACCCCCATTGGGTTTCCGAGGCTGTAAATCTATGGAAGTGGATCACCCTGTCTTCCTTCTGCGGAGCAGCTGGTGGGTTTCAAACCACTGACATTCCAGTTAGCAGTCAAGTGCCTTATCCACTAAGCCACCAAAGCTCTTCATAGCAGTAGACAATAATGTCATTTTCTGGACATCCTTCACACTCTCTGAATTGTCAGATTTTTGCTAATGTGATAGGTATAAAATAGTTTTTAAAAGATTTTTATCTAGCTTTTTTCATGAAGAGAAGTAAAGTTAAGCATATGCTTATATACTTGGTTTTCTCATATAAATTACTTTTCTTGGGGCCAATTTTCTTTTTGGATTGTATAACTTATTTTTTATTGAGTTATAAAAGTTCTACGTATGTTCCTGATACTAATCCCTTGTCTAACAAATACATTAGGACCTCTGGTGGCGTAGTTACCTAAGACATTTGATTGTTAACCAGAAAGCTGCCAGTTCAAACCTACCAGCCACTCCTCGGAAGAAAGATTGGGCCATCTACTTCCGTAGTGATACTGCCTCGGAAACCCAAAGGGGCTGCTATGAGTCGGATCCGACTTGTCGGCAGTTGAGTTTGGTTTTTTTTGGTTAACAAATATATTCCAAATACCTTCCTCCTGTCATTTAGTTATGTTGTCTTCTGTTACATGTAAGTTTTAGATCCTGTTCTAACAGTGTAAAATTTTAATTTTTTTCATATTTAGGTCCTTCAGAAAGCGAGAATTTACTTGTGTGTGTGACCTGAGATAAGAATCGAATTTTCTCTCTCCATGCAAAAATCCAATTATTTGGTTCCTCAAAAAGTTAAGCACACAACTACCACATGACTCAATAATCCCAATCCTAAGTATATACCCGAAAGAACTGAATGCAGAATGGAAACAGAAATTTGTATACCAATATTCACTGCAACGCTGTTCACAACAGCCAAAAGGCTGAAACACGATCCATCAACAGTTGAATGGACAGACAAAATGTGTTATATACACATACAATGAAATGCTACTTGGCCTTAAAAAGAAATGAAGTTCTGATACATGCTATAGCATGGATGAGTCTTCAAAACATGCTGAGTTAAAAAAGTCACAAAGGACAAATATTGTATGATCCCACTTACAAGAAACAGGCAAATGTAAAGAGAGCAAAGTTTATTAGTGGTTACTTAGGGTGGGAGACAGGGGAAAAGGGAAGTCTTTAAGGGGCATGTATTTCTGTAATAGGGGTAGAATGATTTAGAAACAGAATTGCATAACAAACGTAATTAATGTCACTAAATTGTACAAGTAAAAAATATTGAATTGGCAAATGTTTTGTGCTATCTAATAATCTATCTATGTATCTCCACAAAACAATAAAAATTATTTCAAAACCATTTATTAAATCTATGTCCTTTCCCACTAATTTGTACACTGCCCCTTCTATCACATACCACTATCACATACTCTGGTAGCACATGTGATTGCTAACCAGAAGGTTGGTCGTTCAAACCCACCAGCCACTCCGTGGAAGCAAGACTGGGTAATCTACTTCTGTAAAGATTTACCACCTCAGAAACCCAATAGGGTTTGCTATGAGTTGGAATCAACTCAACGGCAGTGGGTTCTTTTTTTTGTAAATCACATACCAAGTTCCTGTATACACGTGCAATCTATTCCTGGCCTCCCTTTTCATTTCCACTGCATAGAACTTAATATCCCTGTTCTAATGTCATACTGTTTTTGGGGAGAGGGCTATGTGAAAATATATACATCAAACATATTTCCATTTAATGATTTTTACATGTTGTTCAGTGACATTGGTTACATTCTTCACATTCTGTCAATTTCTCATTATTTCTGATGTAGTTATTTCATCTCCATTTATTTAGACTCATTATTTCCTAAACTCCTCATCCATGTTTTAAGAGTTACTGTTGTCATTTTGATCTATTTTTTTTTTAAATGAAATATTTGAGGATGACATTCTTCACTTTTCAAGCTAAACTTTTTTTTGTTTAATGATGACTTCAGAGGATAGTTTTATTTGAAGGCTTGAAGTATTTCAGGGGTTCATTCAGCTTCAGTAGATCCAGTAAGGCTGGGTTCTTTGGGAATTTGAAGTTCTGTTACATATTTTTTCCTTTTCTATCAGAATCCATCTATTTGTGTCCTCAACTGAAATACCTGGTAATGGTAGCTGGTCACTATCCAGTTCTGCTCTCAACTTAGAGGAAGCAATGGTTCATGGGGCTATTAACCCTGTAGTTCACTTTTTAAAAAACTGTTTTGAGTCTTTTTGGATTATTTACTTTCCTATCTGAATTTTAAAATAAATTAGTTTAGTTCTAATAAAATTACTCTTGTTCCTTTTCCTCTGTCACTTTTTTTTCTTTTTAATGAATTGCAATGAATTATTGGATAAATTTATCCAAAATCTTTTGGATAGTCTTTCAATCCATATTTTTTTTGGGGGGGAAGGGAGGGATTGTTGTTTTTGTTGTTGCTCTTTTTATGTTTTTCCATTATAATTTGATAGTTTTTTCCAATCCTTTCTACTGCTATTATGAGTGGGGTTATTTCATTACAACATTTTTACTTGGTTACTTTTATACAGGAATATATCAATTTTCATACAGTGGTTTTTATGCCCAGCAATATCACTGAACTCTTTTAAATAAGAGTTTACAGATAAAATAATAAGAGTTTGTCTGCAACCTTTGGTATAACACAGAGATATGAGGAGTGATACTGGGTATTCTTATTTTGTTCCTGACTATACTTCTAAAGTTTCCCCATTAAATATGTTTTTTATCATTGATTTTGGTAGACACACTGTACCAAGTTAAGGAAGTTCCTTTCTATTTCTAGCTGGCTGCAAGATTTTTAACAAGGATGAGTGTGTCATTTCATCAAATATTTTTTCTGTATTTATTAAGAATATCATTTTTTTTGTATAAATTATACATGATACATTTTCTCACACTGAATCATCTTGAGGTAAGTTCTATTCAGTCATGATGTACTGTTTCTTTTCATACCGTACAATGTAAGATTTGCACTGCAAATATTTGATGTGAGAATGCCTTAACTACTTCCTCCCTTGCACTGCTCTTGTGCAATTTCAGGCATCAAGTTGGATTATATTCCCTCTTTTTACTGATCTTTGGAATAGATTTAATAAGCCAGGATCATCTTTTCCTATAAGATCTGGTAAAACCATCTAGATGGAGTCCTTATTAGGAAGGACCTTTATATTGCCAATTTAATTTCTTCAATGGTTCTTGTTCTGTTCAAGAGTTCTGTTTCTTCTTGGGCTAAATTGGCAATTTATGCTTTACTTATCTTTATCTATTTAATTTGTAAAACACTGACAAAGTTTTCATAGCATTCTACTCTATTATATTTATACCCCTACTTTTATTCCTATTGTTTATTTGTGTTATCTCTTTTTCTTTCTTGATCAGTTTGCCAGGTTGTTGCTGTTTTTCTTTAAAATCTTTTCAAAGAATCTCTTTTTAATTTCTATGATCATGTCTATTTTTCTGGATATTTTTATTTCATAATGTATGATAAATGGTTAAGTGGCTGCTAACTGAAAGGTTGTTGGTTTGAATCTACTTAGAGACATTTTGCAAGAAAGGTCAGATGATTAGTCTCCAAAAGATCACCAACAACTCTATGGACAACAGTTCTACTCTGAAACACAAAGGTTGCCATGGATCACAATCAACTTGATGGCAACTGGTTTTATACTACTGTTACTGCATTCTGCTCCAAATACTTATTTCCATTATGATTTCTCCTTTAGTCAGATGTTATCTTTTTAGCTTCTAAGCATGGCCTGTTGTTGTTGTGCCATTGAGTCGGACCCAACTCATAATGAGCCCTCCTTGGGTTTCCGAGGCAGTATCACTACAGAAGTTGATTGCCCAACCTTTCTTCTGAAGAGTGGCTGGTAGATTTGAACCGCCAGCCTTCTGGTTAGCAGTTGAGTGCCTTAGGCACTATGCTACCATATGATACTAATTCTTTAGAATCTGTTGAGACTTCCTCTGTGGCCTGTGTACGGGGTCACTTTTTATACTTGTTCCCTATGTACTTGAAAAAATGTATATTCTCTGTATGCAGAGTTCTATAACACCCAGCTGGTTAGCTTGTTCTAATCATCTAGACTGTTATTAATTGTTTTGTTTGTTTTATCTATAGTTCCTAAGTTCACTTAACAATTAAATCTTACAGAAACATCAATTTCTTAACAAACAAGATAAATCATTTAAAAATAAAATTACTTCTTCTGTTATAAGACCTATATTACTCTACCAAACCAAACCAAACTCACTGCAATCAGGCTGATTCTAACTCATAGTGACCCCCATAGGGTTTCCAAGGCTATAAATCTTTATGGAAGCAGACTGCCCCATCTTTCCTCCACACAGCAGCTGGTGAATCCATACCACTGACCTTTTGGTTAGCAGTCAAATGTCTTTACCACTGCATCACCAGAGCTCCTTCTGCATTGCTCTAGCTAATGATTTATTCCCATCCCAAGTATTTTTATATTGTTTAATCTTTTAATCTGTAAAGACCTATTTTCCTTTCTTTTAGCACTTAATCATGCATCCTTTTTTCCCCCAAATTTCTAAATTAATTTAAGAATCTACACCACATGCTATGCAACTAAGCAGTGCCAATACATAAAACAAATAGTTCAAAGAGAGAACTTCCATAGTACAACACTATGAGACCACCATTATAAACATACAGTTGGTATCAAAACACATTCAGAATAACCTAAGTAAATTAAGTGATGCTCTCTTACTATACCAGGATTCTAGCTTTAATTAAATAATAAAAATGATTACATTATTTCAATAAAACAATAGCATGATTATGGTATTATAAAAGCCCTAAAGAAAGAATAAATCCATCTGAAAGTCTTTTAAGAATCAAAGTTTCAGGACCAAAAAAAAATATATTAATAGGTACAAAAAATACACAATCCGCTATTTAATATTTTATTTTTTAAAAATTTTTTTATCACAACTCTCTTCAACCTGTATATAATTGTATGCACAACAGTTTCAAGATTCTTTCAAACTAAGCATTGTAAACAAGAAAAAAGAATGGTTTAAATTATTTCTTACTTTTGAATTCTCCTTATCACTTTAGTCCTTTAAATCTGAATTTACCAACAGATGCAGCTGTGTAGGTCTTTTTTGAACTTTCCTCTGCCAAACAAGACTGAGAAGCTAATGGTTAAGTGGTTTAAAAATCTTGTAGCCAGCATATATAATTTTTTTAATTTAGATCTAGTATACTTCCCAGAAGCTCTGGTGCGTCGTGCCTAAGGCATTTGACTGCTAACCAGAAGGCTGGCAGTTCAAACCCACCAGCCTACTCGGAAGGAAGGTTGGGCTCTACTTCCGTAGTGATACTGCCTCAAGGAGGACTCTCTATGAGTTGGGTCTGACTCCACGGCAGTGAGTTTGGTTAGTTGGTATTATACTTCCCTAGTGTTTCTGAAGATTTATGACATAAAGTTGTTGTTGTTGTTGTTGTTGTTATTTGCCGTCGAGTCGGCCCTGACTCATAGCGACCCCTCCTTGGGTTTCCGAGGCAATATCACTACGGAAGTAGGATTGCCCAACCTTCCTTCCGAGGAGTGGCTGGTGGGTTTGAACCGCCATCCTTCTGGTGAGCAGTCAAGTGCCTTAGGCACTATGCTACCAGAGCTCCCATGACATAAAGTAAAGCTTACCAAAGCTAGAACCTGTGTAAAGGGGAGAACTGTCAGAGAAAGAAAACATAAAACTAAAATGAGGTAGGGTTCTTAATAGAGAGCTATATAAAAGTGGTATGACTTCACTCCGTCAAAAGTGGAAAACTTTGAGACCAGAAAACAAGGCAGTCCTACAGAGTTCCAGCTCACAAGTTTCACTGCAGTAATTTAATTATAATTTTAAAAAATACAAGAAATTTTACTTACAGATCCAATTGTAGCATCTTTTTCTGTAAGCTCCTGTTTGTGTCTGGCCATCATCTCTTTGATCTCCAGCTCTTTCATGATTTTTTCTTTTTCCAAATCAGAATACTGTTCTTCAGCAATTGAACGAGCCAACTGCTCAGAATCTGCTTTGGTCAAAGTGATCTCCAGTTGGGCAGCCAAAGAGTCCCTGTATTTTAGATATTTATATCATTTTTATTTTCAATTTTTACTATGAAGCCAGCTTTTTATCTAATTCACCAATGAATTTTTAGTTGATGTGTACCCAGGCTCTATTCTAGAAGCATGAAATATATAAAGTAGCTATGAAAAAAAGAAAGGTACTGTCCTTACCTTTCATCCTGTAATTCTTGCTTCTTCTGCTGTAATTCTTTACAAAGTTTAGTCTTCTCTTCACATTCTTCTTTAAGTTCCCTAACCTGTGTTTTATAGAGTGTCTAAATTGAAAATGAAATAGAAAAGTACAGTATTATCACCAAAAATATTTTTACCTTCAAAACCTATCCAGATAAAAACTGAAGTTGTGAACACATGAAACTATTTCCTTACTGTTGAGCCTCCTAAACAATTTATTTTCTTTAAATGAGCTTTTCTTTTTCAACTAATTTAATAAAAGAATAAAAGTTAATAATTTAGAAGAATAAAGAGGCAAGGAAAAATATTAGTAATTCAGATGAGAAATTTTTGTTGCCTTAAACCTATGTAACAGATATGAGACACAGTGTCTACTTCAGAGTTTAAAACTGATTTCAAGCATAAATGTTAAAACGAAAACGTTTATTTCATTATGAAAATACATTCTTCCTCAGTAAGAAGCACTCTTGATTAGCTTCATTGGGCATGGGTATGTGCTTAAAATTATTTTTCTAGCAATGATAATGGAATTCTATTAGATTATCTACATTCTTTTGTCCAGCTGCTCTTCTATGAGTTATGTAGTACAAAACACCTCATCCAAAACCCAGGTGTTTGCTATAATAATCTATTCTAAGGACAACTAAATAAATATGACAGTATTTTTCCCCCTGTTTGTTTCGAATTAAATAACTAAATGATAAGAAATGTTTGGTGTGGAGGGGTTGTTGTTGTTGTTGTTATGTGCTGTCAAGTCGGACCCAACTCAACAGAGACCCCTCCTTGGGTTTCCGAAGCAGTATCACCATGGAAGTAGATTGCCCCATCTTCCTTCTGAGGAGTGGCTGGTGGGTCTGAACCGCCAGCTTTCTGGTTAGCAGTCAAGTGCTTTAGGCACTATGCTACCAGACCTAATGCTATTGTGGTCCTAGGAATATGGTTTTTTGTTTTGTTTTGTTTTGTTTTAAAAATGCTCTCCCCCCTTTTCCTTAATTCTGATGCATACGACTGGCTAAGAAGAATTCTCCATAAGACTGGCTGAATTTTCCTGGTTCATCATTAAGAATAAAAAAAAAAAATTCTATAGATACAGCAATATTTAAATTAAGGTATCTAGAACTTACTGAGAAATATTGCTCAGCTTCAAGCTGATCTTGGAGCTCTTTCATTTGCCCATCTGCATCTTGACGTTCTCTGTAGGGTCACAGAATAAAAAGGTTTAAATAAGTTATATACATATTAAACCAGCAACTCAAAAACTGCAGTCTGGAGAACCCCTGGGAGTCCCTGAGACTCTCTCAGAGAATTAATAAGATAAAATTATTTTTATAATAATAATAAGACATCATTTGAACTTTTTCTCTCTTCTTCTTTCACTAGTATATATGAACTTTCCTGAGGCTACATGACATGTAATGATGTCATCAATGACTTATGAAAGGTATGCTTATGTGTTCTTGTGTTTTAAAATCTATTTTAATTTCTAACACAACAAGTATCACTAGACATGACTCATAAACAAAAAGGTTTGAGGGCCCAACCTTTTTTTAAGAGTGTAAAGGGGTCCTGAGACCTAAAAGTGCTTTATTAAACAAACCATTTTGAAGTACACATTCCAATACTTGCGGTGTGATCAGCCATTTATGCCAACCAAATAACAGAATTAGAAGAGTACCCAAAAAGTGATAATCTTAGGGTGGGCAAAGTAAAGGCTGGGAAATGGAATAAGAGAACATCTGCAGTGTTGATGTTTATGTATCAATCTGGATGGTGACTGCACAAATATATTCACTTTGCAAAAATTAATTGAGCTCTACACTTAAAATGTCTCCTGTAGCTATGTTATTCTTCAATAAAAAATAAGTAAAAAGAAGCAAGCCTAACAACTCATTTAAGAAGTTGGCTTGAAATGATAAATTCTAGGCTTATTTGTTAAGGAGCTCTGATGGCATAATGGATAACACATTTGGCTACTATCCAGAAGGTCAGTGGTTCACACACATAATCTGTTTTGCAGAAGGAAGACAGGGCAATCTACTTCCATAAAGATTTACAGCCCGGGAAACCCAACAGGGGTCACTATGAGTCAGATTCAACTCAATGGCAGTGAGTTTGGTTTTTGGAGGCTTATTTAAAAAAATTAAAAGCATAGTTATTCCAAATCAAAGCTAAGGGAAAGTATCAAGTTGGAACAACACAAAGTGTGATACAATTAAAAAACAAAGTTAAAAAAGCACAACTAAATCTACAGAAAACCTACCCTGTATTTATTTGTATAGATGTATAGACATAAGCATAGAAAAGGTAAAGAAGGATAAAATAGCAAATTGTTAAAAAATATTACCTCTGAAGAGAGGATATAGGCCTGTATATATAAAAGAGAACTTGTATTTTTTAATACCTGTGATGGTTATGCTTGTATGTCACCTTGGGTAGGCCTGGTTGAGTGGCTGGGCAGCTGGATGTACTATTCCTCATGATGAGACTGGTAATCAACTCCATGGTGGAATCTACTGGGAGCAGCTGAGTAGCTGCCTTTGGGTATGTGGTCTGCTTCCTGTTGTAAGGAGAAGCCTTGGGAATGGTCTCTGGCCTACGGCATGCTTGGACCGTGCATGTAGCTGTATCGTTGTTGAGCAGCCTGCTATGCTCTGCCAACTTTGGGACTTGCAATAGACTTAAGTTAATGGCCTGCCATATGGTTTGGTAATATCGGGACTGTGCCTTTTGACTTGTCAACCTTGGGGCTTCTCAGTCTCAGCAGCCAGCAGCTGTCTGAGTGAAGAAACGCCTCTAGCTCCAGTGGGCCGGGAGAAGGAGGCAAAGCTGGACCCCAAGGTTGAGGGGCTTTCACCCAGCCCCTAGAGCTTGGGACTTTGAACTTGGACTTAAAGCCTCCAAATTGTAAAATAAACTCCTGTTTGTTAAGGCCATCCCTTTTGTGGTTTATTTCTTGTCAGAGCGGCACTAGGTAACCAGAACAATAATACCCTTCTTACATGTTGTTGTTGTTGTTATGTGCCGTGGAGTTGGACCCGACTCATAGCGACCCCTCCTTGGGTTTCCAAGGCAATATCACTACGGAAGTAGATTGCCCCATCTTCCTTCCGAGGAGTGGCTGGTGGGTTTGAACCGCCAGCCTTCTGGTTAAGTCAAAAGCCTTAGGCACTATGCTACCAGAGCTCCTTCTTACATGTAGGAAATATATTTAATAATCTTTGTCTCTCCCATAGTGACCATCATAGAGGCTTATGCATAATAGGTATGAATATACTCACACAACATTTATTGAGGATGTACTATGTGTGAGACATTAATCAAAGGCGGGGGAAGCAACTTATGGATGAATAAAATAATTCTTGCCTTTCAGTGGGCTTATCAACTATTTTTAGGTGGTTATGTGGATGCCTTTCAGGAGGACAGATTAAGAAAGGAAGCATTAAGAAACAACAGACCCAAGTGCACTTATAAAGAAAATAGGCGTCTATAATAAGTTATCATAAATTAGGTATAAACAAAGTATTATTAAAATAGGGGAGTAAATACAATCTAGATGTATTAATTAGTTCTTGTCTTCTTCATATAACAGTGTTAGTCAAGTAATTTAAAAATTGTGTTCTCCAGAACCTGGAATCAATCTCATATGATATCACATTAGAAATGCCTTAAGCTCTTAAGCAAAGCTGGGCCAATGAGCACCATCCCAGGACTTAGGGAATTTTATGAACCTGGGATCCAGAAAAGTCAAATCAGGGTCTCTCCAAGTAAATGAAGCTATTAAGATATGTGTTTAGGGCTATCGATACCCATATTTTCTATTAAATGGGAAAAGATAGGCTAAAATGAGAGAGAATAAAGCTAATGTAGAGGTGAAAAAAAGATACGAAGACATCTGAATACCATTCAAACTTTTAAAAGTTGATCTGCATTTCTTGTCCTTCCTAAAGCTATGTGTCTCCAGTACAGTACTGTTCAAAAGAATTTCCTATCATGATGAAAATTTTTGTACTTACACTTCCCAATATGGTAGCTACTTGCTACGTGTGCCTGCTGAACCTGAAATATGTCTAGTGAGACTGAGGAAGTGAACTTCTAATTTTAATTAACTTTGAAGTTTAAATATGCACATGTGGCCAATGATTATCAGATAGGACAGTATAGCTCCATAATACGCTTCCATTAATTTTCTTCGTATTTAAGTTTGAACTGTATTTTTATCACTTGCCCATAAAAAAAATTAAAAACGTGTTAATACTTGGATTATGTTGTTTATGGAAATACCAGATTTCAGCCTACCTCATGAAGTTTAGATAGTCTAGGTTTTATCAAGGCAATAGATCAGCAAAAAGAAAAAAATGTACTTGAGAACAAAGTCTACTTGAATGGCATTATTTCTGGGTTAGTGCAAACCAACCTTATGGTTCAAACCCACCAGCCACTCCTCAGAAGGAAGATGGGGCAATCTACTTCCATAGTGATACTGCCTCGGAAACCCAAGGAGGGGTCGCTATGAGTCAGGTCCGACTCAAGGGCACATAACAACAAGAAGTATTATTGTTGGTATAAACAATAAAGTAGGTATAAACAACCCAGGAAATTAGCAATGATAATAGTAGAGTAGAATTTTGGTGGCTGTTGCTGGTGGTTGGTTGTAGTGGTGGCAATGGTGGTGGCAGTTGCTGTTGTTTGGTTTTTGGAGTTTGTTGTTAGATGCCGTCGAGTTGTCTCCAACTAACAGTGATCCCATGTACAGCAGAATGAAACACTGCCCAGTCCTGTGGCAGCCTCATGGTCCCTGATATATCTGAGCCCATTGTTGCAGCCACTGTGTCAATCCATCTCATTGAGGGCTTTCCCCTCCTTCATTGACCTTCCACTTTACCAAGCATGACATCTTTCTCCAGGGAATGGTCCCTTCTGATAATATGACCAAAGTAGGGGAGACGAAGTTTGGTTATTCTCGCTTCCAAGGAGCATCCCAGCTGTACTTCTTCCAGCACAGATTTGTTAGTTCTTTTAGCAGTCCATGGTACTCAGTACTCTTCACCAACACCACAACCCAAAGGCATCAACTCTTCTTCAGTCTTCCTTATTCATTGTCTGCCTCTCACATGCATATAAGGTGACTGAAAACACCATGGCTTGGGTTAGGTGCACTTTAGTCTTCACGGAAGCATCTTTGCTCTTCGGCACTTGAAAGAGGTCCTTCGCAGCAAATTTGCCAAATGCAATACATCATCTGATGTCTTGACTACAGCATCCACTGGTGTCAATTGTAGAACCAAGTAATATTAAGTCTTTGACAACTTCAATCTTTTCCTCATTTATAGTGATGGTCTTTATTGGTCCAGTTTTGAAGATTGTCTTCTTTGTATTGAAGTGTAATCCATACTGCAGACTATAGTCTTCAATCTTCATCAGCAAGTGTTTCAAGTCATCCTCACTTTGACTAAGGAAAGCTGTGTCATCTGCATGTTGAAGGTTGTTAATGAGTCTTCCTCTAATCCTGATGCCACATTCTTCTTAAAATACAGCTTTTGGGATTTATTTGCTCAGCATACAAATTGAGTAAAACTGTGGAAGGATACAACCCTGACACACTCCCTTCTTGATTTTAAACCATGCAGTATCCCCTTGTTCTGTTCAAACAACAGCCTCTTGGTCTATGTACAGGTTCCTCATGAGCACAATTAAATGTTCTGGAATTCCCATTCTTCTCAGTGTTATCCATAATTTGTTATGATTCCCACAATCAAATGCTTCTGCACAGTCAATGAAACATAAGTAAACATCTTTCTGGTATTCTTTGCTTTCAGCCAGGATCCATCTGACATCAGCAATGATATCCTTTGTTCCACGTCCTCTTCTGAATCTAGCTTGCATTTCTGGAAGTTCTCTGTTGTCATACTACTGCAACCATTTTTAAATTATCTTCAGTAAGATTTTACTTGCATGTGATATTAATGATATTGTTTGATAGTTTCCACATTCTGTGGGATCGCATTTCTTTGGAATGGGTACAAATATGGATCTCGGCCAAGTAGCTGTCTTCCAAATCTCTTGGCATAGCCAAGTGATTGCCTGCAGTGCAGTATCTGTTTCTTGAAACATCTCCATGGGTATTCCATCAATTTCTGGAGCTTGTTTTTCACCACTTCCTTTAGTGCAACTTTGACGTCTTCCCTAAATAACACTGGTTCTTGATCATATGCCACCTCCCCAAATGGATGAACATAGACCAATTCTTTTTGGTACAGTGACTCTGTGTATTCCTTCCATCTTCTTTTGATGTTTCCTCCATCATTCAATATTTTGCCCATTAAATCTATCAATATTACAACTCGAGGCTTGAATTTTTTTCTTCAGTTCTTTCAGCTTGAGAAATGCTGAGCATGTTCTTCCCCTTTGGTTTTCTAACTCCAGATCTTTGCACATTTCATTATAATAATTGGCTTTGTCTTTTTGAGCTGTTCTTCGAAGTCTTTTGTTCAGCTCTTGTCTTATCATCTCTTTTATTTGTTTTAGCTACTCTCCATTCAAGGGCAAGTTTCAGAGTCTCTTCTGACATCCATTTTGGTCTTTTCTTCCTTTCTTGTCTTTTTAATGACCTTTTGCTTTCTTCATGGATGGTGTTCTTGATGTCACCCCACAACTCCTCTGCTTTTTGGTCACTGGTGTTCAATGCACTAAGTCTATTCTTTAGATGGTCTCTAAATTCAGGAGGGATATAATCAAGGTCATAGTTTGGCTCTTGTGGACTTGTTTTAGTTGTCTTTAACTTCAACTTGAACGTGTATATGAGCAGTTGATGGTCTGTTCCAATTGGCTTCTAGCTTTGTTTTGGCTGAAGATATTGAGCTTCTCCATCACCTTTTGCCACAAGTGTAGTCCATCTGATTCCTGTGTACTCCATCTGGCAAAGTTCACGTGTATAGCCAATGTTTGTGTTGCTGACCCAAGGAAGGGTCGCTATGAGTCGAATCCGACTCAACAGCAGAGTGTTTTGCAATGAGTAAGTCACTGGTCTTGCAAAATTCTATCATGCATTCTCCAGCATTATTTCTACCACCAAGGCCATATTTTCCAACTACTGGTGATTCTTCTTTGTTTCCAACTTTCCCATTCCAATCACTAGTGATAATCAACACATCTTGACGGCTTGTTAGGTCAATTTTAGACTGCAGAAGTTGGTAAAAATTTTAAATTTCCTCATCTTTGGCTTAGGTGGTTGGTGTGTAAATTTGAATAATAGTTATATTAACTGGTCTGCCTTGTTGTTGTTGTTGTATGCCCTCAAGTTGAACCAGACTCATAGCAACCCCTCCCTTGGGTTTCCAAGGTGGTATCACTACAGAAGGAGATTGCCCAACCTTCCTTCTGAGGAGTGGCTGGTGGGTTTGAACGGCCAGCCTTCTGGTTAGCAGTCAAGTACCTCAGGCACTATGTCACCAGAGCTCTTCCTTGTAAGCATATGGATATTATCCTGTCACTGATGGCACTGTACTTCAGGACAGATCTTGAAACATTCTTTGTGATAATGAATGTTATGCCATTTCTCTTCAATTTGTCATTCCCGGCATAGTAGATCATGTGGTTGTCAAAATGGCCAATTCTAGTCCATTTCAGCTCACTAATGCCTAGGATATCAGTCTTTGTGTGTTCCACTTTATTTTTGACAACTTCCAATTTTCCTAGATTTATACTTCACACATTCTGTGTTACGATTATTAATGGATGTTTGGAGCTGTTTCTTCTCATTTTGAGTCATGCCACATCAGCAATTGGAGGTCTCAACAGCTTCAGGCCATCCATATCATTAAGGTCAGCTCTACTCTGAGGAGGCAGCTCTTCCCTAGTCGTATTTTGAGTGCCTTCCAACCTGAAGGGCTCATCTTCCATCACTATCAGACAAAGTTTCAGGGCTATTCATAAACCTTTCTAATAATGTATCAGATTGTATTTCACTGCTATTCATAATCGGTCAATTCTTTGAGAAGTGGATGACCCCTTCCTTCTTCCAAGTCTGTCTTAGTCTGGAAGCTCTGCTGAAACCTGTCCACCATGGGTAATCCTGCTGGCATTTGCAACACTGGTAGCATAGCCTCCAGCCTCATAGCAACATGCAAACCACCACAGGGTGACAAACTGACAGTGGTGGTAGCAGTAACATTAATAGTTAATCCCTACCATTTATTGTATGTTAGATGCTTTAAATCATTGTTATCATTTATAAGATCCCTAAAAAGGACACTATTATTGCCCTCTTTTGCAGTTGTGGTAAGAGGCTCAGAGAAGTGCAATACTTTGCCCTATGCTGGTCAGCCAGTAAAACTGGTATCCAAACATCAGTCTTTCAGGCTCCAAAGCCTATGCTCTTTCCATTCTACTGACTACCTCTCATAAAATAACTGCAATCTAGTATGATATTTAGACTAATATGACTAAAAAACTGAATGGCAAAAACATCAGCAGTGTATTTACTGTAGATTATAATAGTATACTCAACAATATGTTTTCTATTTTTCTGTGTAAATTAAGTAGCGCATTAGAATATATTCTATAAAATAACTAATAATTTATATGCTGTTTGATTCATGGTCAACCATTTTTAAGTTTCAGAAACTCAAAACAAACAAAAAAAAATAAATAGCATAAACAGTTATGAGGAAGAATCTTAAGAGCAAAGAGTGAAAATCCTAGGTATTTTCTTCTATTCCAACATGAAGAAAGTAATATGGTCAATGAAAAATCCCAGGTAAACCAGTATTAGTATCATTTATTTACATGTGAATATATATTAGTAAAATTTGTCTCAACAAATTAACTTACTTTCGAAGTTCAGCATTTTGTTTTTCCAAGCTCATTTTCATTTCCATAAGATGATTATTCTCTTGTTTTAACTGCTTTTCTGACATTTTTAGTGTGTTAACTTGCTGTGTTTGCATCTTTAAATCATTTTGTGTAAGGCAGCGCTTCTGAGTTTCCTGTTCTATTTTTAATGTCAAGTTTCTAACCTAAAAAATAAAGTGTATACTGGTATATATACAAATTATTTTGATTTTTCTTATCAGTGAAGCAGGCAGTGAGCATAGTAAAGTAAAACAGATTGTTTGTTCTTACACAGTTAGGTTTTGCTTTTGTTTTTTTTCTCCGAGAATGTTATGAATATATCTTTAAAATAAAACATGGTCTTTAAAAATAAAATCAAAACAATGATGCAGTCTACCACTCAAATTCAGTAAAATTAACAGTTTGCAAAATAAAATTTTATAAGAAAATTCAAAAAATTTATTAAAGTATCACTGGACCTACACAAATAAATTAGCTTATTAATTCATTAAATATTTTATTTTTATTAGTAAGCTTCTTACTTACATCCTCATTTAGCACATCTTTCTGTTTAAGGAGTTCATTTATTTTCTGCTGTGATTGTTTGAGGTCACAGTCAAATATTGAACATCTTTTCTCAGCCTCCAGCAACAGGTTCTCCACTTTCTGTTTTAAAGTCCTTTCTTCTAGGAGCTTCTTCTCCATTTCTATTGCAACAAAATGAATATAACCATGAATTTGCAAACTAAATAAGCTTATTAAACATATAACACAATACTAGTAAAAATTATAGTAAATGATGTTGCTTAAAATGTTTACATTTGAAATGTCAAGAATTTCATATTTGAAAATTAGGAGTTTCATTTGCAAGGAATAGAAATTTATCCTTCTGCAATATTATATCCATTCTAATGGAATGAAGATAATTCAGTCTTTATGTTTGCATCTTTTAAATAAAAATTTATTTTCCTGCTACTGTCTGTCTCAATGTTATTATTATTATCACCTGAAAACATTCCAGGTAGATCATTTGCCTTCATGGTTCCTTCTATATTAAAGGATACACAGATGTTGGAAAATATGTTTAAAGGATAGGATGCTGGAACCAAACTTCCTGAGTTTAAATCCTGGCTATGACTTACTAGTTATTTGACCTTGAGAAAGTTTATTAACCTATCCGGGCCTCAACTTTCTTATCTGAAGAATGAAGATAATAGTACCTACTGTCATAAGCATGCTATGAAGATTTTTAGTTAATACAAGTGTAGCACTTAAATTTTGTCTGCATATGGCAAACATCTGATAAGTGCTCATTATTTTAAAATGTTTAATGACCTAAAAAATATATTTTGAAAGAAAAAATGCAAAGCAATATTTAAAAAAATAGAGGAAATTTACAAAGTATTACCCTGATTAGCAGGATTACAGGAAATCTTTACTTCCTTATTTTTATAGTCCTGTATTTTCTAAATGATTTGCAATAAACTTATAATTTGTTTTGTTAAACAGAAAAGGCATTTACAAGCCTTTTTCAAACCTGAAGTGAAGAGCAAACAAAGTCTATTTCTAATCAAGTGATTTCATTCTAATTAGAAGTTGTTACAGTTAAAAAGATTATCTTCTGATATTCTGATTAATAATCCTGTAATCCCATTAGGGTTCCTCTCCTCCTTCATACGTAATGTTCAATATTTAATTATCATTTATTACAAAATTATATTAGGTAAAAATTAAACCTATGAATTTTCAGATTTTAATTGCACGGTCTTCACATGTATACTACTAATAAGTGTATTACTAATAATTTATCTCTAGCTAGCATTTCTAAATGCCTTACATATATTATTATACCTACTTTTCACTACAACCTCATGATACTCTCAGCAAACTTGTAATATTATCATTACACCTTTACCAGAAAAAAGGCTCAGAAAAGTTACGTTAACTAGACAAGGTCACATAGCCAGTAATTCATAAACCATGTTCTTAATCCAAGACAGCAGTGATGTACAGCAGAAAGAACAAAGGCTTCAGATCTGAATTTAAATGCGATCTATAACATTTGTTTTGTATATACATGTGTAAAATATGGAAACCATTATCTGTCTTATATTACTGTTATAAGACACAGTTTGAAAAAAACAGTAGCTAATACAAAATTGGCTCCTTTTCATCAATTCAGGGTATAACCCATCAATACAAGTGCTCATTTAAAATGTGCACAGAGAATAAAAAGAGGCACAAGGGACTTTCTGAGGTGATGAAAACATTCTATATCTTGTTTTGGATGGTGGTTACACAAGATGTTACAAATGTCAAGTCTTTTTATGTTTTATTGCACAAAAATGATACCTCAATTAAAAAAAAAAAAAAAAAAGGCAACTCTATCTTCTAGGCTGAGGACACAGTCAACTAACTTCCTCTCTTCCAATTAGACTTTTCTAAGTAAAACATGCCTATGCTATTTTGCCATCTTCAATTAGTACCTTAAATACTAAACTGATTTTAATAAGAAAACTCCAATTTTAATTACATGCAATAGTTAAAAGGCTAATTTTCACTAAAAAACAAAATCAAACCAAACTCATTGCTATCGAGAGATTCCAACTCACAGAACTACCCTACAGGGTTGCCAAGGCTGTAAATCTTTATGGAAACAGACTGATACATCTTTTTCCTGCAGAAAGGCTGGCAGGTTCAAACGACCAACCTTTTGGTTAGCAGCCAAATGCTTTAAGCACTAACCACGAGAGTTCCTATATTTTTACAAAGTTATTCATAAGTTTTATGCTTTAATGTGAAATAACTCTTTTAAGAGTGTAATGAATCTTTCATTAAGTATATCTGAAAGTACTAATTTCCTCTGAGATTTCAAATCCATTATAATTATAAATAAACCATTTGAAACAAGAAATTATCCTAAGATGTTTTCTAGATTCAGATTGGTTCATGAAAAAGTTAGCTTTGTTCTCTTATCCTATGTTCATTAATATTTTATGACTTTGACTAAATCTGGCCAGAATCTTCATCACACCAGAGTTCAAAGTACTCAGTGAACTGATGTTATAGTTAAGCCAGCTATTATTTTTAAATCTTTACCTTTCATGAATCTATAAGGCACAATTTTATAATAAAAGATGATAAAATGCCAAATAATATTACATACTTAAAAAAGATCATATCTCTAAAATCTGAATAGATATGTCCAGAACATCACACCCTGTATGCCTATCATTATGGATGCCACTGAAATACTAACTTTTCTCTGATCTAAAAATCTGGTTGAATAATTTTGTGATTGGGCCTTACTATCTTAGAAATGATTGCTTCTATAAAGAAAAAATAATATATATGGTAAAGCTTCCTTAATGTAGGCTTTTTTGTTGTTGTTGAAAAACAAATGTTTTTCAAACCTAGAGCTGAATACAGAACCAATTCTTAGTAAAAGGTTGCTGGCAAACCCTGTTTAAAAAATGCATACCTTTCATGGCTTCTGATTTAGCTTCTTCAATGGATTCATAGATTTTATTTTTATCTGCTAGTCGTGCTTTTGTAGCCTTATGTTCAGCTTCCTCTTGCTCTAAGGCCTGCTGTATAACTTTTAGTTGGTATGTCATATCTATTTCCAAGTTGCTCTTTTCCTAGTAAAGATTTAAAATGGCAGCTATCAACAAAGAGTGGCTTACAACTTAAAGAACTTTTTAAGTAGTTTTCTCATAGGCTTAGTGAGATTATTCAACACTTCTCTCTTCATCCAAACTTCTTGCAACAGTAACCTATGCACTGTGTCTACTTCTTTACTTCCATTTATCAGGCTACAGCACCCACCCCCACATCCACTCTACTGTTTTGAAATTTGTATGGAGTTAGTTTTGACTCAATAAAGAAATCAAGGAAATTCTCAATATCAAATTCAACAGACATTTTTCAGTCTTCATCTGCGCTCACTGCTGTTCTTGAAATGATTCCTTTGATGTATCTCCTCTCATAGTTTCTATACTTGTTAAGTTTCCCTCAGCTGCCCATTAAATTCTTTAGTCACAATACTTTTCTTCTTCTTGTATCATTACTCCTCAAAGTTTTCATACACACTTAAGATTTATATACATATACACACACACACACACACACATTTGTTTCTCCCTCCCACCCCCTCCCCAGGATCTCCTACCTTTCACCATTACTCCCCACAAAGGGGATTGAAGTTGAAAATCTCTGAAGTCAATCTATTTTCTGTATGTCCCTGAAAGATTTTCTTATTCTTTGCTTTCTACAGTTTATATTAGAAATAAGTTATTGTTAGGTTTCATCAAGTCAATCCTGACTCACAGCAACCCCATGTATGCAAAGTAGAACTGCTCTATAGGGGTTTCAAGGCCTTTAGGAAGCAAATCACCAGGCCTGTTTTCCAAGGCACCTTTGGATGAGTTCAAATAACCAACCTTTTTAGCTAAAGTTGAGCATTTAACTGTTTGCACCACCTAGCTGCCTATCATAAATAAAGGTGTATGTCTTGTTTTCCAAATAACATCTTTACATTTTTTTTAAAATCGTGAAAAAAAATATTTTCTCAAATTACACAATCCACCAACAGTCTAAATTTACTCTTCCCTGAAAAACCACTGTTCCACACAATCTCTTCTCAGACAGGCTCCTCCACTGTAATAGTTTCAGTTTCTCATATAATGATTGCTCTCAAATATTTCTAGCTTCATACTGTCTAGCTTACTGTACTGTAGAAATCTTAATTTGGCTGTCCTATAGGAACCTTTGGTAGTGTAGTGTGCCTAAGGCACTTGACTGCTAACCAGGAGGCTGGCAGTTCAAACCCACCAGCCACTCCTTGGAAGGGAAGGTTGGGCAATCTACTTCCATAGTGATACTGCCTCGGAAACCCAAGGAGGGGTCTCTATGATTCAGGTCCGACTCGATGGCACATAACAACAACAACAACAACAACAGAGGAACCTCAAACTTAGTTATACAATGGATTCATCATTGTCTAACTGAGCTGTATTTCCTTTATTCTTTATTATTTAATGGTATTACTACATATCCCATCACAACTCAGGACTAGTACTTGACTATTCCTCACATCCCAACATCTAATTAATCAGTAAGTGCTACTGAATAGTCCTCTCCCAAATATTTCTCATGTTTATCCCTATTCTTCATCATTTCAACCACTAGTTAAGGCTCCAAACACTCCAAAACTAAACTCACTGCCACTGAGTCAATTACAACTCATTGCGACCCCCCAATGGGTTTCCAAGGCTGTATGTAAATCTTTAGGGAAGCAGATTGCCTCATCTTCCATGGAGGAGCTGGTGGGTTCGGACCACCATCTTGGTTAGCAGTCAAGTGCCTTAACTACTACACCAGCAGAGCTCCTTTAGTTAAGTCCCCATTATCTCTTATCTGGATTATTGCAAAAGCCTTATGACTAGTCTCCCTGCCACTAGTATTTCCTCTTAACATCTAGTCTCTCCATAATGTACAGCCATCTATTTTAAATATACCTTTAACAAGATCATCATCTAATTTAAAACCTTTCAGTGTCTAGCCTTTTAGTTAGAGGATATATTCCAAGTTTCTTAAAAGTATTCACAATTCTGTACGATCTAACCTCTGCCTGGCTCTGTATCCTCACTCTAGTCATAGAATTCCATACTCTTCCATGAGGACCATACTGAGGTCCTCAGACCAAATTTAGCTGAAATCTATTTTTACAAATAAAGTGTCACAGAAACATAACCAAGCCATTCCTTCATGTATTGAATAGCTGAGTAGTTGCAACAGAGACCATATGGTCTGCAGAGTTTAAAATATTTACTATCTTGCCTTTAAAATATTAAAGTTTTCTGACCCTTAGCCCTAAACCCCAGAAATATTGAAAAGTTTGTACTTCAATAAAAGGATTATCATTTTTTAATTTTCTATGCTCTATGCCTTTGCTTATGCTGTCCTCCAAGATGCAGAATTTGTCTTTGTCTTGACAACCAACTCTGCTCTGTCAGATTAGAGGCTCATCCCTATGCTCCAAATATACCCTTTCCCAAACCCTATCATTGTGACTCCCATTGGGTTTCCGAGGTGGTAAATCTTTATGGGAATAAATTGTTTCATCTTCCTTCCATGAAGTGGCTGGTGGGTTTTAACCACCAACCTTCTGGTTAGCGATCAAATTCCTTAGGAACTGTGCCACCAGAGCTCCTTTTGAAGACATAATATGGGTCAAAATATACGTTTTACTTGGACCTGTAGAAAGAAGCATCTCATAACACACAATCCAAGAAAGTCCTTTCCTGAACAAGCATCTAAGTATAGTAAGGGTTGCCTCTGTAGTGCAAAAAATATATTCCTACTCCATACAACCAAGTCTAAATACGAAAGAATCCATGAGTCATATGGAAATATACCAGTTACTAATTTCCCTTACTTTAGAATCATTTTTCCAATCTGAAAGTCTACTGTCATTTTCTTACATAAAAGTATAGTTTAACATGTTTTACCTTTTCCAAATCAGTAAATCTTTCCTGTAGTTGTCTCTTCTCCACCTCTACTTTTGTGAACAAGATTTTGCCATTCTTTAAGTCTTCCTCTAGGCAAGATATTCTACCTAAAAATTACAACATTAAAAAACAAAACAAAAAAAAGAACCCATATAGTCAATCGAGAGTAAAACATCTGGAAGCCACCTTATACTTTGGAGGTATTATTTATAAGCAGGAGCTTTATAATTGTTGGAACAGTGCTTTCCAGTTAATTCAACTGGGACTCAGAATCTAGTACAGAAGTATTTAATATTTAAAGTATTTTATACTGTTAGAAAGCAAATCTTACATTCATAAAATTTTTTATCAACATATTACAAACATTCTAATGAGTACATTCAAATAGGTTTTATTTCATTATCCATTATCTAAACTTACTAAAAATATTAGTGTTCAAGATCAATTCAAGTGTAATTTCTACTTTAATACCTTGTAAATCACTAATTATCTCCGATCCATGGGTTCGGTCTCTCCTTTCAGATTCCAGGGCTGACTGAAGATTGATAAATTCCTTTTCAAGTTTTAATTTGGCAGTCTCCAACAGGCAGTTTTTATCCTGCAGCTCTCTATTATTAGCTTCCAGCTGCTGAATCTGTTTTGAACTTTCTGCCTGGGTTTTTCTTAACCGGGCTGCAGTATCAGATTCTGTTCGCAGCAAAGCATTGGCTTCATCCAGCTGTTTCCATTAAAATCACACAAACAACAAAAACAGGGATATGTAATGAAAATATTTCAATTTATTATCACATTACAAACAATCTAAAATAAACAAAAAACTTAAAATATTTTCCTAAGGATTTCTCTCTAAAATCATAGTCAAAGACCTTCTGTAACACTGCCAATTAAAACTAATACTAATAGGTAGTCATAAATAAAATTCAATATCCTTTGTATGAATTGAGATCAACATACTTGTCTCTGGAGCTGATTCACTTTCTCAGTAGATATTTGAGAATTTTGATTTCTTTTTTTCAAATCTTCAAGTTGATCTTTTAAGCTGTTAACTATGATAAAAAATAGCTTTCAGTGCCAACCTCTAATACATAAACACACAAAGTGTACTTTTTTCTTTAAATAAGCATTTAATATTCTAGAAAACAAACCATCATTTTCCAGATTTCGTTTCTTCTCTGCTTCATAGTCAGCTTTCCGCTGATATTCTGCATTTTTGTGCTGTAGAAGCGCTTTCTCTCTTTCTAACTGTCTTAATGATGATTCCACATTTTTCCTTATGGTAACCTAAAATAGTATGTAAGGTTACATATTAAAAGAAAGGGTATAAAAATCAAATTTAAAAAAATCTAGAGTTATTTCAAACATGCGAAACACCTTAAAAAAAAAAAGCTAAGCTGCTTTTTTGTTAAAGCTATAATAATTTTCTCTGTGTTTTTAAAATAGCACATTATTCACATAATCAAGACAAGATTTTGTTTCCTAATTTAAGTAAAACTTTTCTTATAATTTTCTATCATCACTGAGCAATCATTATTTAATACTAATTATATGTTTAAAATGTTATGAAAAGCATTTTTCAGAAAGGAAACAATGGTGACTTTCTGAAGATATGAAATATCTATACACACTAAATTAAGTTAAATTTACAAAAACATATCAGAATCCAGCCTATTATAACATTTTACTCCTATGCACCAATTTTACATTTTAGTCCTATGCATCAATGCTACAAGATGCAAATGCATATGCATTTACTATACATAGAGATAGGTACGTTACCATGGAACTAACAACTCTATACATAAGTTAGATATCAAGGGACGTCAAAATATTTTTTTATTAACAAAATTGTTAACTATATGTTTAACAGCTCAACTATACCAAAGCACAGGGAAGTACAGGGCAGCTTTACCTCTTCTTCTAGCTCCTTTGTTATCTTCTCAAGGCGGGTATTAACAGATCTAAAGAATTTCAAAAGAAATAAAGTAATTCCCCTAATTTACAACAAGAATATAGACTATAAATTTTAAGATAATTGATAATTACTTTGTAGCTCTCCCTTTGTAGTTATCAAACTTATAAATTTAAAGTTTTTAAATATAGTATTTCATTATCTTTAAAACATACTTGCACTTCTGCTCTAATTCCTCTTTGGCTTGCATCTCATTGGTGAGGTGTTCTTCTAATGTATATAGTTTTTTCTGAATCTGTCAGAAAATAAGAAACTATAATTATAAATTTTGAATATTTAAAGAGAAGGTTAAAGAAACAGTAAGTTTATTTTATCTTTTAACATAATTTTCTCTACAATGATAAAATTTGTACCTGAATACTTTTCTTGATGGGGGTGGGGGGAAAACCTCCATCTTGTTTTTTCCCTATCACATCACACACATGTATATATGAACACACTTATATGAACATAAAAGTTTTCTACGATGTTGAGTTTCAGATTGTTTATAAATAAAGGATATAATTGCTAGTATCTTCTACTGTTCTTCTATAGGTTATTTCTTTGACAATATTGTCACTATTTTTGCTTATAAGGATTAAAAAGTTGGTATCTGAAGCAAATATTCACAATATTTGACTGAACATGCTCAAAATTATTTTACTTTTCCTAAGAATGTAAACTCCTCTTCTTTTATATCATAAGGTCACCATGAGTCAGAGCAACAAAGAACAGCACTATAATTCCTGGCATAATACAAGCATACCTTGTTCTATTGCACTTCACTGCACCTCACAGACACTGCATTTTTTTTTACAAATTAAAGGTTTGTGGCAACCCAGTGTTCAGTAAGGCCACTGATGCCATTTTTCTAACAGCATGTGCTCACTTTGTGTCTCTATGTTTGTTGTTGTTGTTGTCGTTATGTGCTGTTGAGTTGGACCCGACTCATACCGACCCCTTCTTGGGTTTCCAAGGCAGTATCACTACAGAAGTAGATTGCCCCATTTCTATGTTACATTCTGGTAATTTCCATAATATTTCAAAGTTTTTCGTAATGCTATTGTGTACTTAATAGACTACAGTACAGTGTAAAAATAATTTTATATGTGCCGGGAAACCAAAAACTTCATGTAACTCGCTTTAATGCAGTATTCAAAGCGAATATTACAGTGATCTGGAACCGAACCCACCATATCTCCAAGAGGGTAGCCTATACTTTGAAGCAAGTTAGAATCAAAAACTCTTTTGAATAAATGACAGCTAATTAATTACAAATATCTCCTTTAGTAACTCTGCCTAATAAGTGTCCCAAAATCAACCCAGTTCTATCAGACCACAATGGTAGTATTCTTGCCACTATTCTTTCTAGTGATTAAGTTCACCATAGTTTTTAAATATCTCTTAAATAAAATTGTATTTTTCCATAATAAGTATATATGCAAGTTAATGAGCTGTTGTTGCTATTGTTGTTAGGTGCCGTTGAGTTGATTCTGAGTCACAGAGACCCCATGTGACAGAGCAGAACTGCCCATACAGTTTCCTAGGCTGTAATCTTTACAGAAGCAGACTGTCAGGTCTTTTTTCCTAGGAATTGCTGAGTTTGACTGCCAAACTTTCAGTTAACTGCTGAGTACTTAACTGTTTGCGCCATGAAGCCTCCTTAGTTAATTAGTAAATCAAGTTTAATTGCTTTTGGCTGGTCCTGTATTAGCACAATGTTATCATACTAGCTACCACATGCTAATCAGAAGCTCTTGCTGACAGTTACATATCTTTGATAAATAAAAACAAGAAGATTACAGAACATGTTTTAAACAACAAATCCATAGGAGTAATAACAAAAGGGATACTTGGTAGAAAAATGGTTGGGCACGTCTCTCTTGGGTAGATGAAGTAGTACTCCAAATGCTAGATGGAATAAGACTACATTAAGCATTGCTAATGTGATGAGTTTGAAGTTTTTCAACATATTTGAAAACATCAGCATACCTCTTGACTTTCCTATTTAAAACAAAATAAAAAGCAAAAAAAAAAAAAAACCATATTAAAACACTTGCTATGCTTCATAAAATTCCCAAAACACATAAATTATACAAAAATTATCCAACCCACATTTTGAGTTTTCCAAATGTTGAAGGGAAACATTTAGCATTCTCCGTTAGGTGTATGTGTGATTTAGCTTTGTATGTAGTTATGAACTACAAAAGTCACAAAATAATTTAACAGTTTGATAAACAAAATTTTACTTCATAAAAAATTTGAATCTTCTATCTCTGCATCTTTACAACTTAGTAATCTTTATTCTTTTATAGCACTAAGATTATGAAGATTTCTAACTGGTGTACTGTTTATGAAGCTATTTTATAACTTTTGTTACTAAACTAAGCTCAGAGCTATGTGTAATTCATCTTTTCACTAGCCATCGTGTCTTGCAAAAGGACAGTTGTGAAATAAACGCTTTCAACATTATGCCAAACTATACTGCAACCAGGAATGCCATCTACTAACTCAAAAAGTAACAACAAATGAATGCCTTGTTCTACATGGATATTACTAAAATATTTGAACATGTGACTAAAATAACTACAGAAGTAAAAATTTAAACCTACTTCATTTCTCCTGGATTGTATTGAATCATTTTCTCTGCAAGATGGAGAGTCACTTAATAACCTAAAAGAAAGGGAAGGAAATGAATTCCTTTGCATCATGTCATTTTAATCAATTTTCTCAGTCTTATTCAACCAAGTTATTCTCAGAATTAAAGTTCAACCATGGAGCTTTCTCTTTCTTTTCACTTCAACGTATTTTAAATAAAGCAATGTTTTTCCCTTTGACATTTAGGCTATTTTCAACAATCTAAAATGCTAAGTCTGTCTTGCTTCTTACTCTTATCAGCTGATCCAGTCTTTATTAAAATTGGAGTCACTAAAAGGAACTATACTCTTCTCCTCTTCATTTTCGAATTTCTATAGCAATTCTACTTTTTCCTTTAACCTTCTAGAAAGAGACATCACCCTTCTCTTTTTCAAGGGTACCTTCTCTTCATCTCTTATCACTTCTATTTACTATCAATTTCTCTCTCTCAACTGGATCCTTCCTCACACTTCCTATTAACATGCCTGGGTTTCTCTTGGTCCTAATCTTTTCATTCTGGTCAGCATTCCTATCCCAGTTTGCCCAGGATTTTTGCGTTTTAGCCCAGGAAACCCCTCAATCCTGGGCAAATTGTGATGAGTGGTCACTCTAAATATTACATGCATGGATGCAAGTTTCTCAAATATGTGTTTTTCAAATGTCTTTAATGCTTCATCCATTTAACAGCTGTCAGTGGCTCCTCAATGCCTATCAAATAAAGTCTAAAGTCCCTTAGCACAGCATACACAAATCATGTTGTATTCTTCTTCCCTTGAACTCCAACTCCAAACTGTATTCTAATTTTATTTCCAATACTCACTTCATTGGACCAGTATTTATTTAATGATCATGTGGCAGGTTCTGTGCTAGCTTCAAGGATTATAGGCAAGAAAATCACAAACTCATCAAGTCCTCCAAACAGTCATAACATAGTAGCATATATCCTAAGCCTGGGCACTACTGCACTACATTATCCTGACTTCAATGTGCCCTTTGATTCCAAACTTTGCTTCCACTATTCTCCCTTTGCACAACTCTCCTCTAATTTCCCCACATGCTCACCGGTCAAAAACTCTTTAGATTCAGTTAAACGCCACCTCTTCCCTGAGGTCTTACTTGACTTCTTCCTAATCTTATCCAAAAGAGATGTAACTTTTGTTTCTTCTGCACCATCTCAGATATTTTTTTAGTACTTCTGTTATGGCAAATATCATTATACTCTTCCTTATGACTATAAAATTCTCCTGTATCAATCATTAAATTACAAGCTTCTTCAAAAGTAGATATTTAGTCTTACTCTATATCCCCCCAAAAACAATGTCTTGAATTCACTTAGTAAATCAGTATCACATAACATTAAGAAACAATGAAATAAAATGTAAAATAATTCTTCTAATAGTCCTTTTGAAAAATCTCAAAATTTAAAACAAATAAACACTTCATCTTCTATAATTCAGAGTCTGCAAATAAATCATCTCTTGATAATTACACTCTGAAAATAATAAAAATTTAACAAATGAATCACATACAAATTTTCTCTATAGTAGGTAAATCCTACAAAAGGCAGCTGATTTCCCACAAAGGCTTTAGGAATTGGAAAGGTTTCTACATCTCCTTTATCATCCTCAATGTCATCAAAATTGCTGCTGTCTATGTCACTGCTGAGTTCAGGTACTACAGGAGCCGCAGCTATTAAAATAAAATAAATGAATTATTTCATTCATAATAAAAATACAAGGCATAAACCACCTTCTATTTCCCATGATACAGCAACTCTATATAAAATAACGGGGGCTGGCATATTTTTGACTATCTGGTTTTATTATGATATAAAATTTTAGTAACACTGCTTCAATTATATCATTTCAAAGAATAAAATTTTTAAGTACTTTATTACTACATTAGATCAGTTTTAAATATAGATAAAACAAATAAGGAAGAAATGTAATTTTCTAGGTGTTAGAATTACAAACAGCAATAATATACATTGAGATCCTACAATTTTCCACATTGTTAAAGTAAAATATTTCTTACCCTTAAAATGTATGTCAAATATACATAAAATAAAAATGAATTACTATGTTTACCATAATGTCTACCACAGAATAGTCTCCATAAATAATTGCTGATTAATTAATTTAAGCACATTCAAATTAGAGGATATGAACTGCTCATCCTGAAAATTATTAAGATCCATAAAACTTAACTTGAAAAATTAAGAAATGTATGTCTATTATGAAAGTACTGGGAAATATTGCTTATATATACTTTATTAAGATTTAAGGAGATAGTCATAAATATTGTGACAGAACATATCCAAAATGAAATCTCTCAATTTAAGAATGAGTTAGCATTAAGTATACCAAACAGTCTTACTAATTCAAAACAGTAATCAGTTTGTAAGATTTAAAATGTGATGGAATGAAAATATTTAAATTTACTGACTTACTTTCTCTTATGTTATCCCAGTTCCACTGATCATTCTTAAAGAAAGGATGTTGTTTGATTTCTTCTACCCCATTTCGCCCAAGACGTACCTCCCTAAAGAAATACAAGTAAAGACTGCATTAACCAAACCAAACCAAACAAAACCCACAAGCATTGAGTAGATTCTGACTCACAGCAACCCCCATCAGGTTTCTGAAGAGATAAATCTTTACAGAAGCAGACTGCCTAGTCTTCCTTCTATGGAGTGGCTGGTGGGTTTCAATCATCAATCTTCTGGTTAGCAGTCAAATGCCTTAGGCACTGCACCACCAGAGCTCCTTAATGAGTGCATTATATGTTGTTGTTGTTGGAGTGCATTATATACTTACATAAAAAAATTATAAACAGTTAAGTCAAAATACAGATCACAAATTTGAGATGTTTTTATAAATAGCTTCAGCTAAAATGTTTTTAAAAAATAAGCAGTCCCAATTTCACAGTGTGATTTCATTGTTGCTGTTAGATACCATGGAGTCGATTTCAACTCACAGAAACCCCATGTACAACTGAATGAAATACTGCCCATTCCTGTGCCACCTTCACAATCCTTACTATGCCTGGGCCTACTGTTGTAGCCAGTTCATCTCACTGAAGGCCTTCCCATTTTTGGCTCACCAACTACTTTAGCAAGCATGGTTACCCTTCTCCAGGGACTACTCGCTCCTGGATAACATGACCAAAGTACAAGAGTAACATGACTAAAGTATGAGAGACAAAGCCAGGCCATCCTCACTTCTAAGCCAGCTGTACTTCTTCCAAGACAGATTTGTTCGTTCTTCTGGCAGTCCATGGTATAGTCAATATTCTTCACCAACACCATAATTCAAATGCATGAATTCTTCTTCAGACTTCCTTATTCACTCTCCAGTTTTCTTATGTGTATGAAACTAAAAACTCACTACCAGTCGAGTCGACTTGACTTTTAGCAACCCCTCCTTGGGTTTTTCCTTCTGAGGAGTGGCTGGTAGGTTTGAACGGCCAGCCTTCTGGTTAGCAGTCAAATGCCTTAGGCACTACGCCACCAGAGCTCCCATATGTATGTGAGGCAACTGAAAATTACTATGGCAACACTTGAGGTCTTTTGTGGCAGACTTACTCTATGCAGTACATGATTTGATTTCTTTTTTTAAATTTTTATTGTGATTTGGGTTTAAGTTTAGAGAGCAATTCATCTTCCATACAGGAGTTCACATACACTTTGTCTCATGACATTGACTGTAATCTCCCATAATGCAACAGCTCTCCTCCCACTTCCTTCCCATAGACACCTCTTCCCCGTGTCCTTCCCTCCCATGCACTCCTGTCCCCCGAGTTGTCTCCCTGTGCATACACAGCCCTTCTATTCTCCCATGACTGGTCTCTCCAAGGAGTGTATCTACCTAGTGTGAATGTTCAGCTCATACATGATTTGATTTCTTGATTGCTGCTTCCATGGGTATTCCCTGTGGAGCCAAGTAAAATGAAATCCTTGACAAGTCCAATATTTTCTCCATTTATCATGATAGTGCTAACTGGTTCAGTTGTGAGGATTTCTGTTTTCTGTTGGGGCTGTAGTCTTTGATCTTCATCAGTAAGTGCTTCAACCATTTTTTAATCATCTTCAGCAAAATTCTACTTGTGTGATATTAATGATACTATTTGATAATTTTCACATTCTGTTGTATCACCTTTGTTTGGAATGGGCATAAATATGGATCTTTTCCAGTAGGTCTTCCAAATTTCTTGGCATAGATGAGCGAGTACTGCCAATGCTGCACCTGTTTGTTCCAACACTGGAATTGGTATCCCAACAATTCCTGGAGCTTTGTTTTTGCCAGTGCCTTCAGTGCAACTTGGACTTCTTGATCATATGCTACTGCTCAAAATGGCTAAACACTGACAAATTCTTTTGGGTAGTGACTCTTTCCATTCCTTACATCTACTTTTGATGCTTCCTGCACTGCTCAAAGTTTTGCCCGTTTTACTGTTATTGTCAGGTGCCATCAAGTCGGCTCTGACTGATAGCGACCCTGTATACAACAGAACAAAACACTGCATAGTCCTGTGCCAGCTTCACAATCCCTACTATGCCTGAACCCATCATTGCAGCCACTGTGCCAATCCATCTCATTGAAGGCATTCCCCTTTTTTGATGACTCTCCACTTAACCAACCATGATATCCTTCTCCAGAGAATGATCCCTTCTGACAACATGACCAAAGTAGGTGAGACAAAGTCTGGTCATTCTCGCTTCCAAGGAGCATTCGGGCTGCACTTCTTCCAGGACAGATTTGTTGGTTCTTCTGGCAGTCCATAGTACTTTTAGTGTTCTTTACCAACACAACTCAAAACCATCAACTCTTCTTCAGTCTTCCTTATTCACTGTCCAGCTTTCACATGCATATGAGGCAACTGAAAATACCATGGCTCGGGTTGGGCACACCTTAATGCAATAGCTCTCCTCTTTGCTCTTCATCACCTGAAAGAGGTCTTTTGCAGCAGATTTTCCCAGTGCAATATGAAGTCTGATTTCTTGACTGCTGCTTCTACGGATGTTGAGAGTGGGTAAAATGAAATTCTTGACAACTTCAATCTTTTCTCCATTTATCATGATGCCGCTTTTGGTCCAGTAGTGAGGATTTTCATTTTCTTTATGTTGAGGTGTAATCCATACTGCAGACTGTAGTCTTTAATCTTAATCAGTAAGTGCTTTAAGACATCTTCACTTTCAGAAAGCAAGGTTGTGTCTATACATAGCAGGTTGTTAACAAGTCTTCCTCCAATCTTGATGACACGTTCCTCTTCATACAGTCCAGCTTCTTGGATTATTTGCTCAGCATAGAGATTGAGCAAGTATGGTGAAAGGATACAACCTTGATGCACACCCATCCTGATTTTAAACCATGCAGTATCCCCTCATTCTGTTTGAATGACAACCTCCTGGACTATGTACAGATTCCTTGTGAGCACAATTAAGTGTTCTGGAATTCCTATTCTTTTCAATGTTATCCATAATTTGTTATGACCCACACAGTCAAATGCTTTTGCAGAGTCAATGAAACACAAGTATACAACTTTCTGGTATTCTTTGCTCTCAACCAAGATCCATCTGACATCACAATGATATCTCTTGTTTCATGTCGTCTTCTGAATCCAGCTTGCATTTCTGGAAGTTCCCTATCAGTCTACTACTGCAACCATTTTTGAATGATCTTCAGCAAGATTTCACTTATATGTGCTATTAATCCACATTCTGTTTATTAATCCACATCCTGTTGGATCACCTTTCTTTGGAATGGGTACAAATATGTATCTCTTCCAGTCACATGGCCAGGGAGCATCTTCCAAATTCGGTTGTTATTTGCTATTTTTGGTTCTCTTTCAAAGGACTCCCTTTAGCATCTCTTGTAAGGTTGGTCTGGTTTTAACAAATTACTTTAGTTTCTGCTTATCTGGAAATCTCCTAATTTCACCATCATATTTGAGGGACAATTTTGCCGGGTATATAATTCTTGGTTGAAAATTTTTCTCTTTCAGGGTTTTATATATACTATCCCATTGTCTTCTCGCTCACATGGTCTCTGCTGAGAAATCAGAGCTTATTCTTACTGGCTGACCTTTGATGTAATTTTTTGTTTCTCCTGTGCTGCTCTCAAGATTCTTTGTCCTTGGTTTTGGTGAGTTTGATGATGATATGTCTCGGTGATTTTCTTTTGGGGTCTATCCTGTTTGGGGTTTGATGGACTTTCTGAATGGATATGTTCTCCTCTTTCATCATTTCAGGGAAGTTCTCCTCCAGCAAATCTTGGGCGATTTTCTCAGTGGTTTTATTTTTCTCTTCCTGTTCTGGAATTCCAATGACACGTAGATTATTTCTTTTGATGATATCCCACATGAACCTTAGGCTTTCTTCATTTTTTTTTTTTTTTTTCTTCTGACTGATCCCTTTCTAAAGAAGTATTTAGGTATTTGTCTTCAATCTCATTAATTCTGTCTTCCATTGCATCAATTCTACCCCTTTGCCCTTCCAATGTGTTATCTATTTCTAATAATTTAGTATTAATCTTCTGGATTTCTATCTGTAGATTTAGAATCATTTCTAATTTTTCATTTATTTTGTCATTTTATTCTTGTATTTTCTTCCAGAATTCTTCTAAGGTTTTTTTCTATGTTTTCTTTGGTCTGTCTCTCAAACCTTTGAAGATACCTAAATATAATTCTTTTGAATTCCTTATCAGAGAGTTCCAGTGCTGCTTCTTCCTCAGGGATGTGTTCTGGGTCAGTATTCTGTTCTCTTGTTTCTACCACTTTATCTTTCTTCTTTGTGTGGACTGTGATGGTCTGCTGTTTCCGAGGCATCGTGGTATTGTATTAAGATCTCTGTTAATTGTTTATGAAGAGCAGCCAAGGGTGATTTAGGCTCTTCTTGGTGGTTTTTTATCGTTGGCCCATTGGTGGAGAAGGAGGTAGTGGCTCTTGCTCAGTAAGTGAAGTTGCAGGAGATGTGGGTGTACTTGTATCTTATGAGGACTGTTGCTGTCTCCCAGTCAGTTAGGCAAAAATTATAATTGAATAACCATTGAACAAACTATAAGCACATGGACAAAAAATACACCCTGATATCACACAGGACCAGTAACCCAAAAAAAGAAAAAGGGGGGGAAAGAAGAAGAAAACAGATAAACCTGCAATATCTGGGGATAGGTCACTGAGAGTAAAAAGGTAGAGAAGGAGAGTAATGAACAAAGAAAACAAAGAAAGAAACAAACCAACAATACAAAAGAAAATAAAAACAGGACAAAACAAACAAGCAAAAAAAAAAAAAGGAAGGTATAGACTGTTGTTGTTGTTGTTATGTGCCATCGAGTCAGCCCTGACTCACAGCGACCCCTCCTTGGGTTTCCGAGGACCTCTTCAGTTGTGCAATGCACTCCTGGAGAGTTGTTGGGGTTACTGGAAGCAGAACCTCTTCTTAAGTCCCTGGAATCTGGTAGAGCGCTGTCTCTTTAGGTTGTCACTAGCTGCTGGTTACGTGTTGATTTGTTTTGTCTTGGTTTTATGGCTCAATATTTTGAAAAGGTGAAGCTGATGGGTTTTTATTATTATTATTATTATTATTGATGCAAGTGTTTTGGGTCGCTCTGCTGTTTTCTTTGTGGTGGTAGAATCCCTGTGTATAGTGTGGATATGTGTTTCTGTTTGTTGTAAAGAGAGTTTAGACTTCAAAGCGGGAGGTTTTATAGTAATTGGCTGAATATGTTTTCCTCTATTGAGTGAGTGAAGATACTGGCGGAGAAGGTGGGAGTGGAAGACGGAAAGCTTGGTGTTGCTAGGGTCAGTTTCTAGGGCTTTGAGCAGGCTATTTTTGATGATGTATTTATTTGCAAGACTGCAGCTCAACTTCAGGAAAGATTCTTATTGTTAGGGCGTCACAAATTTCCACCAATTTCAGGCATGTTCAAAGATCTCGCCTCCGAGGCCCCCACAGCGCTAAAGAACAGCTCCAAGGCAAAAATCCCAGGAGTGCAGTTTCTTCCCTCCCTGTTCCGTCTGCCCACGGTGCTGACGTAATCCCGCCAGATCGCTCTGCCCACGGTGCTGACGTAATCCCGCCAGATCGCTAATGGCCAGCTCTGGAGTTTGTCTGTGATACCGCCCAGCTGCAGCACCAAAGATGTGCGCAGTTTGAGCTGTGGGTTGGGAGAGTACCTGCTAGTGACCTGCAGTCCTGATCTCTGTGACAAAGAAAATCACAATGTCTCCCAGTCTGATCCCAATCTACTCTGTGACCTGCTGGGAGGGGAGGGAGCTACCCTTCTTGTCGCAACAGTAAGTTTTCCTCCAAATCTCAGGGGGGTGTCCGTGCCCACAGCCAGCACCCCCAGAAGACCCAAATTACCTCCAAAAAAATCAAGATGAGCTGCTGGAGGCAGGTCTCTGCCGCTGCCCACCGAAATATTAGAGTGGTCGCTGGTAAGCTGTTATAAGGCATCCTCCCTCTTGGCTTGGGGATCTCAGGCAGGTGCCCTAGCCCGGCACACAGTGACTGCTCCAGAAGAGTTTCCAATGCCTCTCTTGGATGCCCGTCCATCCTCCTCCAGTAGCTCTTTCCTACATAGTCTCCCTGTGCCTTTCCTCTAATTCTGTTCTTCTGTGTTTGATGTACTCTGAATCTGTGAGCTGTTCAGAGCCCTGAAATTCCCAATTTAAACTATTGTGGCTAGTTTTCCAAGACCTTAGATGCCAGAGGGATAAAGCGTGCTGCTCACTGCGACTCAATTTTGAACTCCCTCATCTTCCAAATTTGGAAGAAATTTTGCCCACAGAATCCGTCAATATTCCAAGTCAAGGCTTGAATATTTTCTTCAGTTCTTTCAGACTAAGAAATGCTGAACATGCTCCTCTCTTTTGGTTTTCTAACTCCAGGTCTCTGCATTATTTTATTATAATGCTGTACTTTTCAAGTCATCCTTTGAAATCTTCTGCTCAGCTCTTTTAATTCATCATTTCACATCACTAGATAGATTTAAAAAACTATGGTGTACAGCTAAATACCATGAAAAATGAAATATATTTCTATTTATAGTTTGTGTCAAAAGTACACAACAGACTTTCAAATAAAAAATTACCTGTATATTCCAAACCCACATGATCAAATTTAGGGTCTAAATGGATGAAACTCTAACTTTTGGCATGGAAGAGACATTTAAAACCTCTCCAATAAAAATATTATTTAAAAAGTCTCTCCTGTTCTTTAAAAAAAAAACCCTACATATACTGTATTTGAAACTCTACATATTTACTGATAAACTATGTATTAAAATTATCATTCTGAATACATGAAAAGCATAACTAGGATTTACATGTTTTGACCTTGAGTCTTCTATGAACATTGTGTGGAAATAGAGAACATCTGTTTTATATATATCCAGGGGGCTATTTTAATATAGACAGGAAAACCTAAAGATGTTAAAGGAAGTGCTTCTGGCCACATTTATGTCTTTATTTTTAAAATACCTGTTCTCTACCTACAATCATCCTAGACAGTCTCCCTCCTAAAAAAAATCTGTTAGAGCAAATTTTAATGATTAGTAATACCCCTTTTGGTTAGCAGAGGCAACAGTCTGTTTTATAATTACCATTCAGCATAAATTCTTCATCTCTTCTCCAAATCACACACTACGTAAGTTTTGTTGTGAGTTTATTGGCATGCATTGTTCATTAATAACATGATAAACAAATTTTAGAGTTTTATTCTATAAACTACTCATAAACATATAAAAATGATTAACTTTTCTGAGAAGAAAGATAAAATAACTTTCCTATCCTCAGATGGAAAAAGAAAAAACTTCTAATTTTCAATTTGATTAGAGTAAGGAAAACAATTACTGTTAATAGAAAAGCATATCATCAATCAATTTTAAAATGTGAATCCCAGAATTCTACCTTGAAGATTTAATTCTGTAAAAATTATGCAAAGATGAATATATGAGAATATTTATTGCAGTACTCTAATAAACCAACTGGCTGACAAACAATATGGTGTGGTAAGAAATTTTAGCATTTTAGAACTAGAAATGCCCTTTAAAAACAACAAACTCACTGCCTCAAGTCATTTCTGACTCATAGTAACCCCTCCTTGGGTTTCCAAGGCAGTATCCCTATGGAAACAGATTGCCCTGTCTTCTTTCTGAGGAGTGGCTGGTGGGTTTGAACCACCAGTGTTCTGGTTAGCGGTCAAATGCTTTAGGCATTACTCCACCAGAGCTCCCAGAAATGCCCTTAGTTATCATTTAATTTGATTTTACTGTCTTATAAGGATTCAAATTAGTTTCCAAAAAAGTAAATAATTTTCCAAAGATCCTTTGATAGAATAAGTCCAATCACAAACATAAAATGGGAAATTGGAAAAGAATTAAATAGAAAGGTCAAGGAATAAAATCTTAACAGCCTTCTAGTTTCTTTTTTCCAAGTAGGTTTTCACAACTATGTTCTTTACTTTGTTTCTTAAAAATATAAAATTTCCAAATCAGACTTGTTCATATTAAAATGTAAATAAAAAAGGACTGAGAAGGAGGCATTCAGAAGTCAAACACAGATTGTTTTTAAAGTTAAATCTAATATAATCAATGTCACTAAACAAACTTGTGTAGAAATTGTTGAATGGAAAACTAAATTGTATAATCTTCACCAAAAACCACAGTAAAATATTATTTTAAAAAAAGATTAACATGTTTTGGGTATTCATCTGCACAAAATACTCTCTTAACAAGATAATATGGATTAACTACTTTAAACAGTAAAACGTGAATAATATAAAAGTTGTAGTTCTCTCAAATACATTATATTATCAAGTTCTAGTTTTCTTTTTTAGAAATGAGGGTTAAGGATAGAACATTACAATTGGGCTGCATACACAAAATAATGAGCATAGCCCAACACCAGGCTGAGCAGTAGGGAAACGCTAATCCAGACTTACATTTAACTTGGAAAGAGATGGAGAAACAGAGAAACAGAGAAACAGACAGAGAGAGAGAGAGAGGGAGAGGGAGGGAGGGGGAGAGAGAGAGAGGAAGAAAGAGAAAGCAATAAAGAAAGAAACTGATTGATTTTATAGGTAAATAAAAGTTAAGTATGCCTTCATTTCTACAAATTAACAAAGAAAGGGGCTTCTCCACAAAGAAACTGAACATATATTACCTATCTGTTAAGAAGGCACAGATGAGATTCTTTGCATGTTTAGAAATTTCTGCATCTTCAGGGAAACATAGTGAGTTTTTATGATCCATAATTTTGCTGTATGTTCCTACAAGTGAATCTGCATAAAATGGAGTATCCCCTAAAATTCAAGAAGGAAGATACCAAGTGTAAGAAAATGCACATTAGACACTTTTCAGCTAATATTTAAATATATTATTTAAATTGGTCTCATTGATTAAAAATGAATGAATGATCTCTATGTAGACTGGAGCGCCAATCAAAACAAACACAGATAAAGAATATATTTTATTTTCAACCACACTAATAACCCATCAACCATTAAAAGCAAAATAACTACAATGCTAACTCCAGAATTAAAAAAAAAGGAACAATTTACTGAATAGTTCAACAGAAAGTGGAGTCAGATAAGTCAAAGTCCTAGAAGCTTGAGCTGGATCAGCCTATTGACATTACTCTCTTTAGCTGTACAATACAGTAGTCACGCGCAACATGGAGCAATATAAAGTTTAATTAAAATAGAACGAAAACTTCTCAAAGCACAATAATATTTAAAAAAAAAAAATAATGACAACTTCAGTTCATTAGTCATACTAGCCACACTTAAAGTGCTTGATGTACTATATTGGGCAGTACAGACATAAATCATTTCCATCATCATAGACCGGACAGTGCTGCTCTAAGAGATCAACCCTATTATTTTACATATGAGGAAGCTGGGCCCAGAGATGACAGATGACTTGCCTAAGATGACATATAGCTAGAGCTAAAAAGGGCAGGAATTTGTTTCTCAATACTGCTGACTATGACAAAGAGGCAATGAAGCAAGTATAGAGATAGAAATAGTTGAAGGTATCTTTATAGCCAGTACTCATCTAAAACCACAAGGCTTAAAGTCTCTGCCAGCATGCCCCAATTACAAGTAACTTCAGTATAAACCAGACTTTCCAAATCACTCAATCATCTAAAACTTCAAAAGGGGTATTTAGTTAGTGTTTCTTTCTTTCTTTCTTTTTTTGGGGGCAGGGGGTGTTGGGAGGGTGGAGGAGGAGGGACTTTAAGATTTTCTGGTGCCATTTTTAACTACAGTGGAGTCTGTTAAATGAAGTTATGTCAATCAACCTGAGAAAGCACCAGAGCAAGTTCAGAATACTGTAAATTACTGCCATTCAAATTCATTAAATTCAGTTCTCAGAGTCAAAAACAGTAACAGGAATTTAAATGGCCTATTCAAATGAGTCAAATTATATCTTCCAAATTGCATTATTTTCTAAATCTCTAGAAGTAGAGTCTAGGCAAATGAGAGATTACATTCTATTTTCAAAAGATTACAAGATAAAATCTAAGGCATCATCAGATCAGGCAGAGGTGAGGAGAAGAGAGAACTATCTAGGAACTTATGATGTGTACAGAGACCTACTACAAAGGCCCAAAACAAAACAGAACATACTATGACATGGGATGAAGCATAAGAAGATCTACATACACAATATGCTCTTTGACATTTTATGCCTTCCAAATAAGTTCCATGACTAATTATTATTTACATTTGGGATGTATCAAAAACATTGTTTTTGTTTTAATCAATGAACATATTCTACTATCATACAGATTTTGCAGATTTTTTTTCTACTACCAAGTTCTTTTAGGGTTATCTGGGAAAATAAGTTTTCCAGGTTTTTAAAAATATGTTTTCAACCCAAGTCATCCATACAGTATTAATAGCCTTACCACATTTGTCTCAAAAAGTAGACTTAACAGTATCTGCTTCCCTCATCCTCAAGCCACCTAACAGCCAGAAAATATTTCTGGGACCCTAGCTCAGATTTCCCCCAGTATCTGAAAGTAGAGCGTTTCTATGAAACCTATCATAAGCCAAAATGGCTATTAATTTACGCTGGAAAAAATTTTGAGAATTCCCAGACCCAAAAAACACATAAAACCTAAAAGTAACACTAACATACAGTGTTCACAGACACAGTTCAAAGGTATGGTGGCTTGATGCTGAGATGCTAAGTCCAATTCCTGAGAAAGAAGCATGGTAACACTACTCTTGTTGCTCAGGATGCATGCTGCCTCTTTATCGACTCTTTACAAATCAAATGATGAATGCCAGCTTCACTTTTCACCTTTTTTCATTAAAGTGAAAATCCTCTTTGGATTTCTTTCAGTCAGCTTTCGTAAAAACAAAATGGCGTAAAATGAACTTTTGAAAAGCGGGGGATATCTGTGCTTGGAATGGTAAATCTTAGGAGTGAAACACATGATGTAAAGAATAATTCTGAAATACCTGACTCTTTCAAACTGGGATTGGGTCAAAATAGACGATCTTATTATTATATTTGTCTCCAAGTTTTCTGAAACAATTATTCTAAAATATATTTATCTTGGTAGTCAAATGCAAATATGACTCCTTTCACTAGAATTACAAACCAAATATTTATACAAGGAAATAGAAATACAGTTTAAAACATCAATTTGTTGTTGCTTTTACTTGCCATTGAGCTGATTCTTAGTCATGGAGACACATGTGCAGAGTAGAACTACTGTGTAGGGCTTTCAAGGTTGTGATATCTTGGAAGCAAATCAATAGGCCTGTCTTCCCAGGCACCTCTGGGTGGGTTTGAACCACCAGTCTTTAGGCTAATAGTCAAGTGCTTAAGCATTTGCGCCACCCATGACATAATTACCAAAGAATACTTTTAGTTCTCTTTAAGTATTGAAACAAGTATTAACAGCCTTACGTGTAAAATATTACAACAAATACTGTTTGCTGATCAAGAAAATCTTGAGTGAAGACTGAAGATCCAGAGTGAAGAGTGAAGGTCCAGAGCAGCTATAAATTTGCTTCTTGCTCTATTTCCTTTCTAGCAGTATAATTTCAATTCCTTTTACACTCTATTTACTCTATTCAATCACTGTTCCTGTATGGGGCTTGACATTATCTTTAAATTAACAATTTGTCTTATCAGATACAACTAAATGAGAATTTTGAGAAATTCCATGTCTCTCCTAGGACACAGGCAATTAATTTCCTCTTATTGTCAAATTCTTAATTTAGAATAAAAGTGTTATGAAAAGGGTTTTGCCAAAACAGCAAGTTAAAATCATTACTTACCCACCAGCATCTCAAAAAGGAAAACACCTACAGACCACCAGTCACATTCTCGCCCATAGTAACCATCACCCCCTTGCGATTTTAGAACTTCAGGTGATATATAATCAGGTGTTCCAACTGCTGTATCACAATGCACCATGCCTGTCTGGGTAAATAGGAGAAATAAAGAAACGATCAGTGTAAACATACAAATATACCCAATTCATTTATTATTAGACATGTAGTAACTACATATTAGGAGCTCTGGTAGCATAGTGCCTAAGGCACTTGACTGCTCACCAGAAGGCTGGCGGTTCAAACCCACCAGCCACTCCTCGGAAGGAAGGATGGGCAATCCTACTTCCGTAGTGATACTGCCTCGGAAACCCAAGGAGGGGTCGCTATGAGTCAGGGCCGACTCGACAGCAAACAACAACAACAACCAACAACTACATATTGCTATCAAAAAAACTTCATTGTTAACGTGGCTTTGGGAGGACAGAGGATGAATGCATTATGAAATACATAAAAGTATCTGAGTTATAGGAGATTAGGGGTAAATTTCCAACTGTAAAATACAGCAGGCTTCATTAAGAAAAAGAAGGAAATGGTGGTAAACTCCATGGGAATTCCATGTAAGTCAACATATTTTGTTTTTTCTTATATTACGAAGTAGTTACAAGTACAAATCACAAACTCTGAAACAGAACAACAGTAGTAGTTTACTTCATGTAGTCATTTGTTTGCCTTTATTTCTCTCCAAGTATATCAATGATCTCGCTAATATCATGAAGCAGTCTTTTCACTTACTCCACCATGCCTGACATTTTCTACCTTTCATGTCAGAAGCTTAATCATTTGTATTTTATATATAAAATTTTGGGGGACACTGGCTGCTTTAATTTTGGGCCAATGGTCTTCATAATTTTAAATTATTTTCTAACTTCTATAGGGAAATACTGTATTTGCTTAGTTATATTACACATTTTAATTCATTTAAAGCACATTTTCATTCTATCACAGTTAAAATAACTAACAATATTTTGTATTTTAGACAGATTCTAGACCTGAATTTCAGAGCATGACTGTCAAATGAAAAGGATGACATCAGTGAGACAAAACTATTCCCCAGGTCTGTGTGGAGGATTATGTGTTTATAATGGCTTAATGTAACTGTTGAGTGGAAACCAGCAGTCATTATCTGAGACTCCTGTCTGAAATATAAAATATGATCTTAAGGCATCTGATTCTAAGAAAAGAATCATTAGAGAAAGGAAAGTTTGTATTTCCAAAAGAAAATGAAGCAATTAAGATTAGAGAGGGCCTCAGTTTGGAGGCTAAATAACTTAGTTCTTTATCCTTCTTATTCTACCAAAGAAAAGTGGCAGTAATAGATCAAACGGTTAAATTTAAAAATCTTGCCAATTAGGAAGTTATACCAAGTTTAAAAGAAAAAAAAAAAACAAGCTCACTGCCACTGAGTCAGATCCAACTCACAACAACCCCTCCCTCGGTTTCCAAGGCAGTATCTCTAGGGAAGTAGATCGCCCAATTTTCCTTCTGAGGAGTGGGTGATGGACTTGAACAGCCAGCCTTCAGGTTAGCAGTCAAACGCCTTAGGCACTATGCTACCAAAGGTGGAACAAATGGTTTGTACTTGACCACTAACCTAAATGTTCGTTTGAACCCATCCAGTGGCACCACAGAAAAAAGGCCTGGTAATGATTTGCCAAGAAAACCCTGTATAAACCCTGTATATACAGAGCTGTTATACCCTGTAACACATGGGGATGTCATGATTCAGAATTCACTCAACAGCAGTGGGTTTTATCTGTGTTCAGTTTAGTTTCAGTGGGCGATAAGATAATCCCTATCTGATATCTTTATGACAAGAATGACAACCATTATAGTTAGTTGTGTGTGTGTGTGTGTGTGTGTGTACATGCTGCAAAATTAAATCACTATACTAGTATAGTGCTGAATAGTACTCCTTCACCTCCAACTATGTCCAAACTTGCAGGGATTTTCAAGATTAATTTAAATGTCAGTTTCTTTACCTTCCCAATAAAGAGACTGTTACTCACATTCTTTATAAGGCTATAAAAACTAAGAAAATATTGTATAAGTACTATGACTACTTTGCGAAAAGAAGTTCAATATATTTTGTAAATATGTTTTGTGTGAATGTCTTTAAGTGCTATAAACTTGTGTTTAATATGGAAAATTAATTTCAAAAACAATCTTTACTTTCTTCAAATTAGCAGAAATAACTCCTTGATTTTACTTTCCCAAGTATACAACAAATATAGAAGTCATTTAAGTATAAAATAATAAATAAACTGTGTAGAAATAACTGAGCAAATGTACACCAGGACATAAAAGAGTTTAGAGTATATGAGAAAATTATTTATTATTTTACTTTTACTAAGATAATTTTCATTGTTAATTTCATACTAAGGGGGGAAAAAAAAACCACTGCTGATTCTGACACACAGCAACCCTATAGCAACCTATACTATATTATGCTACATGCCACAAGAGGTAGCTATGGGTACAATCAAAAAACACCTACTAAACACTGATTAATATATGAAGAACATAGTAACAGAAACTATGAAAACCAAAGAGATGAGGGATTATTAAGTTTTAGCTGGGTAGACAGGGCATACAAACCAAAGATAGACAAAAATGACCCATTAAGTATAGCACAAATTTTGGATAAGTGATAGTAACATAACAGTAATCAGTCAATATGGATTATTAGGGAGAACTTTCTAAATAAAACCTGAGCTGAGTTTGGAAGGCAGATTACTGATGAAGGTGGGGAAATCAATAGAAGTGAATGTTACAAAGGAGGCATGAAGAAGTTAAGAAGTAATGAGTAAAGAAAATAAGCTTAACTAAAAAATAAAGGTCTTGACGAGGTAACTAACAAAAAAATAAAATTAGCTGCATAAGTATACTGGAAGGTTATGAAAACCATGTTAAGAATAAGATCTAGTTTGCTTGCCATCAATATACACTAACATTTCTAAGATATAATATATGCAAATTATTTCCTAGATTTAACAGAGGAATACAAAATAAATATGATTCCTGCCTATGTGGAATTACAGTCTCAGAGAAAAAAAAGTAAGTTTTACAACAAAAATAAATTAACATTATACTTAATACTCACCACTGCCACTGAGTCAAGTCTTATTAATAGCAACCCAATAGGACAGAGTAGAACTGCCTCATAGGGTTTCCAACACTGGAAATCTTTACAGAAGCAGACCACCTCATCTTTCCCAGGCAAAGCACTAGTGGGTTCGAACTGCCAACCTTTCGGTTAGCAGCTGAATGCTTTAACCACTGTGCCACCAGAGCTCCTAGGTTAGTACTACATATTAAACACAATACGAATTTTTCCAATAGTAAAGTACAATGTTCCCAAAATTATTCTATATTGTTGATGCAAATGTAAGTGGGAAGTGGTAACAAATCTTTCTTTACCTGTTTTTAAAGGAAAAATGCATAGATATACTCATGTACCTTCATTTATATTCTGTATCCTACTTCTTTACCTAGATCATCAGACATAAGAACTAGTTTCAACTGATAGCAAATGCTTGTCAACATTCTATGAGGAAGATAAAATTTACATTATCTAAGTTCATATTTCTCTTGGATTCCACTAATCTACTACACTGAAGCTAGCTGAATGATTATTAGTAAAACAGATGTTTTAAGGTTTTTTTTTTTTTTAATGTTGTTTGGGTTGTTACACAGTTTTGATGTCCTGATTTGAAGTGTTTCTTTTATTTTTGTTCCTCAAAAAAAAAAAAAAAATTTTTTTTTTAAACTTGCTTACTTCATCCATCTTCATACATGTGCCAAAGTCTGCTAATTTTAGATGTCCATGTTTATCCAAGAGCATGTTGTCAGGCTTCACATCTCTGTGTATTAAACCCATGGAGTGTATCGCATCCAAAGCAAGAACAACTTCAGCAGTATAAAATTTGGCCCATTTTTCAGGTACATCATAATTACTCATCAGATTTACAAGGTCTCCACCAGGCATATACTCCATTACCATATACAGATACCTATCATCTTGAAAAGCACAAAAGAGCTGGAAAACAAAAGACAAAAATTATAAAAACAAAAACAAACAAATGGAACAAAACTCAAAAGTTATTCGTACTACCGAAACAGGCAAATTATTTTAAAACCAAAGTCAAAATTCATGAAATCACCTATTTTAGATTTGGATATATCTCATGGGAAACAGTTACCAGACAAAACTTTTATATGTGTACCTTTTCTTCAAGCTTACTATCAAAATATGTAAAAATAAATCATTTTCCCTATTAAAGAATACAATATAGGAAACTATTTAAATAGAAGCATTTTAAAGGAAAAACAACAGAAATGAGAGATATAAAAAGGTGAAAAATGGTAGAATTTATAATACGAAAAATCAAACTCACTAGCCGTGGAGTTGGATCTGACTCATAGCAACCCCTCCTTGGGTTTCCGAGGCAGTATCACTACGGAAGTAGACCGCCCAGTCTTCCTTCCAAGGAGTGGCTGGTGGGTTTGAACCACCAGTCTTCTGGTTAGCAGTCAAATGCCTTAGACACTACACCACCAGAGCTCCCAGAATTTATAACAGCAAAAAAAAAAAAAAAACCTTCTGAAAACAAAACATTATAAAACTATAGCCACTAACTTACATAAAAGAAAGCTGAGGAGGTAGGAGCAGTTTAGAGAAACCTGAAATGGATATAAGTAGAGGGAATAAGCCCCATACCACTGCATGAATAATTGGTAGCCACATTTGGAATGGGCTGTTTCCTCTCTCTTCCCATCCCTACTACCATCTTGCTTGTGACAAGAGAAATAAGATGGCAAGCCAAGGTTGCTACTGACCTCCAGGAGAGGCAGAAGAACCATAAACTCAGAAGGGTAGGTATCTGTCTGTACTTCTCACCCAATAACATATTCTACCTCTCCAGAAAGGATTTCCATAAACAAACAGGAAAATTAAAATGCAAAGGTAAAAACAAAACAAAGAATCCACATTTGAGAAAAACCATTATCATGAAATAAAGGCAAACAATTCACAAAATAGAAAACTAATACTCAAGGAAATGCTTAATAGGACAAACTGAGAACAGTTTTAAATAAGTAACAATGCCCTCAAAAGGGTAACAGATGTCATATTCACTAAACATTAAACTGATATAGAAAAAGACTGTAAGAAAAAGAAAAGTAAATAAAATTTCGAGACAGCAATAAAGTTTAAAATACAGGGCTGAAAAAAGTATCTAAATGGAACAGAGGGAGACTTAAGACAGCCAGCACTAAAATTTCAGAAATCCAAGAAAAAAATTCTAAAAGTTTCCCAGGAGAAAAGACAGATTACATACAAAAACATGAAATAAATCACACTAACAATAAACATCTCAGCTAATATACTGAAAATAAAAGACAACAAAGTTATACCTCCAAAGGTTGAGGGCGGAAATAATTTTGATCCTAGAATATGGTAGACTACAAAACAAATGAGATAACCAAATAAATATGCCTTATATCATATAAATTCTAAGAAATTTTCTAACTGGCAAACCATCTCTGAAAGATTTGTTCTAGTTTATATCCTGATAAAGATGATTGTGTGAAACATAATAAAGAAGAATAAAGAAAGAACCTAGAAAAACTTACTTAATTAAATATAATTAATGATGAAAAGTTAAATCATTTGAGAGGCAAACTAAAATCACCATACTGTGTTTTTATGCAAATCACATGCACTATGGGGGTGGGGGAGCAACAGTGCAACCTCCCACACATGTTCCTAAGTGCACTATGAGTATTGTATGTGTGGGCACATTATTTGCAAAAATACAGTAATTTCAAAATGGAAGCTGGTGGGAAAAAGGGAATGAAGAGATGGAAAAGCATTATAAAGTTGGTTCCTACATTGAAAATCCTATTTAACTCTAAACAACAAAAGGAAGTTTCTGAAGAGAGAGATATTCTATGTCCATGAATCAGAAGCCTCAACATTATGAAAATGGCAATTCTCCACAAATTGATCAAGAGAGCCAATGTAATCCCTACCTAAATCCCAGTAAGTTTTTTCCAGAAATCAATAAACTGATCGTAAAATTTACATGGAAGCAAAGAACCAAGAAGAGCCAAAACCACCTTGAAATGGAACAAAGCAGAACTTGTATTTCCCAATTTCAAAACTTACTACAGATTTAATAATCAAGAAAGTATAGATACTGGCAAAAGGACCAACATATAAATCAATGAAAAAGAATTATGAATCCAGAAATACACCTTCACATTTATGGTTAATCTTTTTTTTAAGTGCCAGGGTAATTTATTAGGGAAAAGACAATCTTTTTAACATCTGGTACTTGAACATCATTAGTTCATCTAAGATAAAGTTAGACCCTTACCTCATACTATGCTCAAAAATTAACTCAAAATGGTACATAGATTTAAAGAGTTAAAATATAAACTTTCAGAAAAACACATGCAAAAAAACTTGTGGGTTAAGTAAAGATTTCTTAGATACAACACACCAAAAACACAATTGGTAAAATGAAAAGCTGATACCTAGGATTTCACCAAAATTAAGACACCATTAATGATGCACCTGATAAAGCACTTGCACCTAAAAAATATAAAGAACTCCTATAACTCAGTAAGACAAACAACCCGATTTTAAAAAAGAGCAAAAGATTTTAATAAACATTTAACCAAAGAAGATATAGCAATGGCTAATAAATACATGAAAATATGTTGAACATTATTAATTAGGGAAATGCAATTTAAAACCCCAATGAGATACCACTTTACACCCACCAGAATAGCTATAATAAAAAAGAAAACATCAATTTTTTACTAGAATGTGAAGAAACCAGAACCTCAAATATGCTGGAAAGAATACAAAATAGGCAGTCACTTTAAAAAAAGAGTTAGGTAATTTCTTAAAAAGTTAAACATAAAATTTACCACATAGTTCAGCAACCCTGTACTCCTAACTCAAGAGTATAGGAGAACTTGGCAATTTCTCAAAAAGTTAACATAAATTTACCATACAATTCAACAATTATCCTCCTACCAAAGAAAATGAATTATGTCCACACAAAGACTTACATGCAAGTGTTTGTTAGTTATATTGTTATGTGGCATCTAGTTGGAACCAACTCATAACAACCCCTCCTTGGGTTTTTGAGGCCTTATCACTACAGAAGTAGATTGCCCAACCTTCCTTCCGAAGGAGCCGCTGGTGAGTCTGAACCACCAGCCTTCTGGTTAGCAGTCAAGTGCCTTAGGCACTACGCTACCAGAACTCCTTGCAAGTGTTTAGAGAAGCATTATATATAATAGCCAAAAAATGTAAACAATTCAAATGTCTATCAACTGGTAACTGTTGTTGTTGTTATTTGCCATCGAGTTGGACTCAACTCATAGCAAACCCTCCTTGGGTTTCCGAGGCAGAATCACTACGGAAGTAGATTGCCCCATCTTCCTTCCAAGGAGTGGCTGGTGGGTTTGAACCGCCAGCCTTCTGGTTAGCAGTCAAGTGCCTTAGGCACTATACCACCAGAGCTCCTAATACTACTTAACAGTAAAAATGAATTATTGATGTATCTTACATCACGTATGATGTAATGTATGATACATCATACATTACTGATGTATCTTACATCATGGATAAATCTCAAAACAATTTTGCTGGGTGAAAAAATAGTTAAAGTTAGACTATATACTGTAGAAGAAAAATATCAACGAATTTAAACATACGGTAACAAAAACTATACAAAACAAAGCATATAAGAAAAACAGACTGGGATGAGCAAAAGAAGAGTAAAAGTAACATGGAGGACAACATGAAGGAGATTATATATGTGAACTATAGTCCAAGAAAGGAACTCTGGTAGCATAGTGCCTAAGGCACTTGACTACTAACCAGAGGGCTGACGGTTCAAAGCCACCAGCCACTCCTCAGAAGGAAGGTTGGGCAATCCTACTTCTGTAGTGATACTTCCTCAGAAACCCAAGGAGGGGTCGCTATGAGTCGGGGCTGACTCGATGGCACATAACAACAACAACATAGTCCAAGAAAGCGGCTAGGAGCTACATGGCAAGAGGTGAGACAGAAAAAAATATCTAAAGAAATAATGGCCAAAACTTTCCAAATTTGATGATACATATAAACCTAAGCAGTTCAATTAGTATGAAGCAGTTAAAAAGAGCTAATTAAAACACTGTAGTATTGGTGGTAAGGACAAAGTAAATGAATGGAATGGAAAACTCTCAAATAGATTTATGAACACAATGGCAACTGAATTATGACAAAGCAGGCATTATAGGCCAATGGAGAATGGAAAGTTTTTTCAATACTGATTAAACTGGATGTTCATGTGGAAACAATTGTAATCCTTATGGAGGACTGCACAGCCGATTAATGTAACTGCTGTCAATATTACATACTTGCAAAAAGGTGAACTGTCAAAAAAATCTTTATATCACAGCTATAATAAAAATTCAATTCTGGATTGATTATAGGCTCAAAATAAAAAGTTAAGAAGATAACAAAATATATCTTCATGGCATCAAAGTAAATGAATACAAAAAGCATTATAAACAGAAGTATGATCAGAAATGTAAATCTGTATTCATCAAAACACACAGTTAAGGGAGTCGAAAATGTGACTCACTCATGGGTGTCAGGGCTCAAAAGAGACATGTTCACTCATGAGGATGGCTGCCAAGGGATATCAAGGCCAGGCAAGGTGAAGAGAACTTTCATACAGAGGGGCAGCCTTGTGTGGAATGTCAGAGCCCAAAAGGGATAAACCAAAAAAACCACAAACAAACAAAAAAAACCTCACTCCTGTGGAGTGGGATCCGAGTCATAGCGGGCCCTCCTTGGGTTTCCGAGGTGATATCACTACGGAAGTAGATTGCCAAACCTTCCTTTCCTTCGGAGGAGAGGTTGGTGAGTTTGAACCGCCAGCCTTCTGGTTAGCAGTCAAATGCCTTAGGCACTATGCCACATAGTAGATACAAAAAAAAAAATTTATCTGTAAATGTTTCTTATGTGTA